TCCCTTAGGAAATACATAAGTTAGGATCTACAGCTGTTAGAAAACATGTCAAAAATAAAGTGAAATTAGAGATAGACAGCCATCATGATTGGGCAGAGTGTACTCCTACCCAGTTAATGTAGGGTAACAAATCAGGACAAGCAGATGATCCATCAGCTATTTGACAGACACAGCCTGGAAAACAATGGGATGAGCAGGAATACTGCAAAATGAGACAAAATCTCCTGCACATGGTGTGGATGGACTTAACATGCAGCTGTACAGGCTGGAGGCCAGAGGGATTAAAAGCAGCTTTGCAGGATGTTTTCAGTGAAAAAAAGGATCAGTTATTCTACTTTTTAGTAAAAAAAAGGGAAAAAAAAAAAAAAGAAAAAAAACAGAAACAAAAAAAAACCAAAAAAGTAAACCAAACAAACCAAACAAAGAACAAAAAAAAGGAAAAAAAAAAAAGAAAAAAAACAGAAACCCCTCAGCCTTTTTGGTCTCTTTCTCTCTCTTGTAGTGGATAAGGTGCACCTGCTCTGACACATCGCAGCTGCAACCTGGGGTTGGGCTGCTGTCAAAAGAACAAAGGGTCTTAACAAAGGGTCTTTTGRGGTCTCTGTCCCTTATCTCGAGAGCTGAGGCCCTGCTTTTTTGACTTCACCTGCTCCATGCYTGGTCAGACCCTGATCCGCCACACAGTCCCACAATCTGAGCTGTCGGTAGTGGGAAACGCAGGACTGAAGCCAGCACAAATTATAACTGGGGTCTTCCAGGAGCCCCACAGCAAGAGGTGCAGTGGACACAGGCTGAAACAAAGGAAATTAGATACATTAAAAACACCGGATGATCCGATACTGGAACTGGTTGCTTAGAAAAGTTGTGAAATCTTCTTTGTTGGAAAAAAGAAGAATTTACCTGGAAAAGGGTATGAGTAATATCTATCTGTAAATGCTTTGCACAGAGAATTGGGCTAGGTGAAGTTTAGAGGACACTTTACAGACTGAAGTAATCTATATTTATATGAACCAAGGACACTCCTGGGTGTTATKTGCTATACAGGGGTCATCTGAGGTCATTGAGAAATGTAATTAGCACCAGAAAGGTCATTGAAGGTCAGCTGATTCCCATTGCCKGACCATGGGTCAATTCAGGTCAAACTCAGAGACAACAATCTGTACAAAACATCATGTAAGATCAATCACAATCCCTATTTTTTTGCCTACTATCTAAAGTCTAGTCAGTGCAGTGAATTTCACTGGAGTGATCTGAGGTCCACCTCAGTATCAATTGAACATGACAATATCCCATGTATTTTCTCCAGGGTCAGCTGATGTTTATTGCATATACAAACACTTGTCAAGAGGATCATTTGAAACTAACAAAGGATTTGTGTGGTGCAGAGSAGTCTAACCTATGAAGTGAACCTGAGATCCATTACATCACTAGAAATAATTCCYGGCCTTTGCAGCCTGAGGTTAATTGACATGAGAGCCACTTATCTATTTGGAGGTGCTAGGATCCAAYCAGTGAGAGATGACTTCCTAAATTAAGGTGAAAACAACACCAAATGCTGGTTTAACAATATTGACTTTAGTTTGTAATATTTAGTGAATGGGGRAAAGAGCAAAAGGGAGAGAGGGAGAAGGAGAAAAGGAGTGCACCGTCTGTGGATCCAGCAGCACCCCATTGGTCCATCTTCACCCTCAGCTCCTCCATGGTGGAGCAGGGGGACCCGATTTGTTCTTCTCTTGGCAAGCTCTGCACAGGAAGGGGTGCTGGGTGTGCAAGGTCTGCCAGCAATTCTCAAATCTTTTCACTATTTACATATTTCAGCAAACAAATGAATAATTCCTTATTGACTGCAAGCTACATAGATCTCTTATTAATTAATATTCTGTCTTATATTGATTGATTAATCCCTTGCTTCTTATGCTAATTGGCCCACGTACTCACTCTTTCTCATCTTTTGAGTCAGTGGATTTCTAGAGCTGGTGATCCCAGATCCCCCTGCAGGAATCACCTTTYATCCCATTGAAGCTGATTCAGCACAGTTGCTGAATTGGCTTTGCTGGTTTCTTCGTTACTGTGGGAGTTCTGCCAAATGCCCTTGTGGCCCRTTAATTCTGTATTTTTTGTACCCACTATCACTGATACATCCTTCTTCCTAAGCTTTGTTAACCTCTCYCTAGTCCTAACACGCAGAYGGCAGTAGCACCTTTATGCAGCCCAAGTTCCAGTACCCACAGRGGCAAATTTGGGGACCTGTGCTGGTGGTTGCAGATGCCACCTGTCCCATTACTTGGGGTGATCTTTATTTGGTCAGCGATATGCATATGAGCAGTTGGGTTTTGTTCACACAGTCTGTCACTGTGAGGAAAATTTGTCTGGATGTGTTAACCAGGATGTGCTTCTTACTTCTGCCAGTCCTGGAAGTAGCCCCTTCCTGTCACAAATTCACCCTTTGTGTGGCCTTAACAGTGTTTGAGACAGGTAACTGTGCTCTTTAACTTCTAACAGGAGGTCACTCTAGGCCAATTATCAGCCCCTACTTCCACCTAAAAGGTAATTTAAAATCAACTTTTAGTAACAGTTAGAGCTCTAAATATCATTTAAGATGAACATGAGAYACAAGTAACTGCTCAGGGTCACTGAGCAAATGAGAATTAATTAACTGGCCTGTGATCACTGGAGGTCACCATTACTTCTCAGGAAGGCCATTTGAGATCAGCTGGAGGGCTGAAAACTGCTGTAGGTGAACCTGAGGGTCAGCTAACCTGTCACATAGGGCTTGTGTGGCATCATCCTGAGGCCCAGGTGTGTGCAAGGTGTTCTTTGAGGTTGGCCAGGCTCTTGTTTGGAGCCTAGGATTGTCTGAGGTGAACCCGACGTACATTTGACCTCCACAGAAGTCCTTTAAAGTTGCCACTCTTCTCCTTTGGAGAGGAGCAAATATTTAAAAGTCTGTTTGGTGTCCAGTTAAGCAGTCAGGGTTCATTTTAGGTCAACCAGAGACTGTTAGGATTCATCTGAGGTCAGTGCTGCCTTTGTTCAGTGCCCAGAAGTCATTTAGGGTAAACCTGAGATCCAGTTAATTGTTTGGCTTGTCATTTGATGTCAACCTGCCCCTCATTTGGTGCCAAGAGGTCAATCACAGTCCTTGACTCCTGTCTGAGGTCATCTGAGTTCAATCTGAGATGCAACTCTCACTGCAGGGTGATCTGAGTTCAACCCTCATGGTTGTGGCACAGGCCAGTTCAATAAACATGAGTTTAAATAATTTGTGGGAGTCACTCCAGGTCCAGTTGGCTTCRTTTTTGAGCCCCAAGGCTGGTCTGAGTCAGCATGCTAGCAAATTAGATAACAGGAGTGGGGGTCACCTTGGGACAGCAGGATAGCCAGTGATCTGCTTGGGGTCAGCTAGGGTCAGTGCCTGGGGTCAGCTTTACACCCAGTAAATTGCCCAGGGTCACACTGGTGCTTGTTTTCATTCAATAAGTTTTTTGAAGTTCTATTCAGAATAAATTAACCCACGGATTTGTCATCTGATACCAACCTTAATTCCAATTAGCTACACCAAGTAATCACTGAGGGTCAGCCTGGGCTCCTTTAATCCAGAGGTCACCTGAAGTTAATCCAGACCACACTTCCTAACGGTCACTTGAGGACAGCCTTGTATCCATTTAGTAGAACAGGAGGAATACGTGGCCATTCCCAGCTGACCACCRTGGACATCTCCTTGACCAGCTGCTGACCCATTTCCTGTTCAGACATTTTCAGAGGTCACAAAACACTTCAGGTTGCATAGGAGGGGTGCTCTGAGGAGAAGCTTCTCTCTTTTCATCATCAGATGAGACACCAGCCCACATGAGTGCCCTGTATAAATGTTTTGTACCCATTGCTGCCTCCTGCTACAGACTGCAGAAACAGGATGGCATGGGCAGTATCTCTGTGGGACAAGAGTTCAGTCAGGAAAAAAAGCAGGAGAAAGGCTCAGAAGTCAGAGTCTGCTCTCTGTGCTTCAGCCTCCCCCCTCTTCCTTGTCTCTCTCTTCTTTCATSTCCTCCATTCTGCCAGCCTTGCGTAGGTTGGACTACCTGCAAAGTGTCAAAGCTAGATAATTTTATTTTCAATRACAACCTGAGAAATTGAAGGTTTCAGCCATTTACCTAAATCTTTGACACTAAGAACATACTCAGACTTCTTTAGGCAACAAAGTCACTTCTTTCCTTAGAAACTTTTCTCTCATTTTTCTTCTTGAGCCTTAAATGCTTTATCCAAACTGAATATTAAGATCTAAATGGACCCAGGATATTTTAAAACACTGGTCTGTTTTCTCTTCTGCACACCGAACCAATGCCTGGGATGGAAGTGGACAGAGCACTATAACTGTTTACACACTCCTCAATGCCAAAGAGGACAATATTTTTTATTTAGTTTTAGTTTGAAATTTTTCTCCCRCAGCAGCAGTTACCATAAACTGGGAAATCAAGCTGTCTTCCAGAATAAGTCAGAATGTGACAAAGACAGCAAAGAAAAGCTGAAAAGCGTAACAAATCTTGCAAATGATGCAGCAATAAGGTAAGCACTGACTATTCTGGTGTGACCACAATTGATGAGAAGGCCCATGTCAATCTCTGGGAAMAATTTTTCAGCAAAAAGTGACTATTAGGAGGCATCAGCCTCCTAATAACAGAAAATAGATATAAGAGGTAGCAGATTTGACAATGAAGTCAATGGAGTGCATTGATGTCAGCTCCTTGTTTACACTAGTGGCTAGTGTAAACAGTTTTCACTGAACTGTTTATTAGAACTAAAATTACAGTAAAAAGTAAGACTGTCATATTAAGGCAATAGTATTAATTATTCTAAAATCTGCAGCAGTGATTTGATTTGCTAAATACCAAGTTATCTCAGAATTGAGCTTGCATCTCAATGAAAAAAAAAAAATCCAGACTTTACTGAATAAATTATATTTATATATAATAAATAGTAAGTAAATAAATTATGTACTTTCTTCTTCTATAAATAAATTTTGACTCATGAGATAGGTGTAGAAGTATTCTTGCTGTAAGTATATTGACTACAAGAACAGAAACTAATGCTACTACAGAAATAAACAAAAGAGGAGCTGGAAACCACATGATAAATGTAGAACAGGTGTTTATTACTTTGAGATTAAAAACAAAAATAACTGCATTATTCTCTGCATGTTGCTTTCACTTTTTTCCCTTAGTGCTCAGAAACATGTTATTTCATTTTGCACCTATCAAGAACAGACACATTGTGAAAGTGTTTCTTTATTCTGAAAATCTATGAAATAGATTGACAAAACTACAACAAATACAAATCCATTTCTAGAAAATACATGTGCAATATCCCTTTTGATTTTATAACAATAGAACYCAATGAATAACCCCATATACACCACACTATGAATAAAAGAAAAAAGAAAAGCCACCCTGAGTATGAGGTTTATAATTTGTGCATATTTTTCATATGTTCAAGCTACATCTCCAGTGAAGCAGGTGCCAAAAAACATTTTGCTGTGGATAATCCCAACTGAATTGCTTAGTAATCTTCTTTTAAATTCATATTAAAATGTGAGCTTATAAACACTCTGGTGGGTTTTTTGTTTTGTTCTTTCAAAACTTTACTCTCTGACTTACTTGAACAAAGTAAACAGGTATTTTTTTTCCAGAACCTACCAGAAATATAAAAGAAATCCCCATACATGCTTTTCAGCATAAAAAAGTGTTGAAGGTAATAATCAGAAAACCCTATGGTTTGGTTTGACATACAAGATTTCCTCTTCCACACTAGCTGTGGTCAGCATTTAGAAATCAAAAGACAATTCAAAGAATGCACAGAATTTGTAGTAAGAAAGACATCAAGAAGTCAAAAGAAATTTAAAAAAAATTCAAGTTATTTTCATTCTAATTTATTACTGAATTTTCAAAAAGGAGGGGAGAAAGATTTTTAACCAAATACTGAAATTTACAGTTTGGTGAAATGTGAATCAGCCCTCCCAGAAAATGCAGTAAGAAAGTGAGACATAATTTATCAGCCAGCAGAATTACTGGATGTTTTTGACTTAGTATCTCCACGCACAGGAAAATATAAAGGACAAAAATATACAATGAAACAATTTGAAATGCCTCCTTTTCTTGTCTCATCCACTTAATACGCCATGCTGAACAAAATTAAATAGCTACCATATTAAATAAACTACATGTTAACACACACTAGTATCTTGCAAGGATCCCCAGTTTCAGTGGAAAGTAGTATGTGCCTTGACAGATACTGACAAGAAGGAATGAGATGAATCTACACTGAGCTAGCTGCACATTGTGAGAATTCTCACAAGTATTGCTACAAATGCAGGAGCCACCCACTCCTGCAGGGAACAGGACCRTTGTCAAGAAAATATGGTTTGTGCATATCTTCAAAACTTGTAAGGAAATGAAAGGCCCAGCCTGGTGTAGAGTTTATTATTTGTGCATAATATATAAGTGTGTTCTGGATTTATGGCAACATTTGAGGAGAACAATACCATCAGGGCAGGAGTTACATTGTCTTCGATTTTAAAGACATATTAGTGTGTCATTTGACTTAACAGAATTTAAGGGCATACTAATAGTTAGAGATTCTTTAGGGCAAGGTCTTCTTTAAAGTGTATATGTATTCATGTAAGCACATGTCTCCCTAAAGTCAGATTTTAAAATGATAAACACAGGAAGCAAAGTAACTACCTTGCAGACAAATGGACCAAAATTCATCTTCAGTCTGCAGAGATGCAATTAAACTCTCTTTCACAGACAAGCTAAGTTTCCTGATATATTGACTTGCTCCCAAAAAAAAAAGTCAAAGCAAATTATGTATTTGGAAAAGTATAATAAGAAAAAATGGGGGGGGGGGGTTCTATAAAAATTGTTTTTTAAGAATGAAAAACCCAAGAGGAACCTCTTCTGAATGCTCTCAGAAACTGAAAATATCCCAGCTAAAAATTGTGTAGATGATTGCTTCAATGACTGTTTACAATGCTGATTACTTCCACATCRGTATCATAATCAATATAAAAACTGGTAACATGTAACTTCCAAATCCTATATGTATATGTAGACACTTACTAAATGTACCAAATTAATCACAGATCATAATAAGAAGCCCCCTTACACATTAACATTTACTATCAGCTGTAACGGAAATACAATTTTGTTTTCTATTCAAGTATAACATTTTCTAATGACTGACATTTGAACATTAGGGTTTTTTTAGTCAACCAAGGTATAAAGAAGTTTAAAAGCTTAGTGTGATCTGTAATACAAGTTTTGTTAGAAATATTTCTGCTGAACTTGTTTTCAATATTTACAAAAATTATATTGCACAGATAGATTGATTTTTCTGTTCTCTGAACTTCAGCTGTAATCAGAGAGCATCAGTACAAACAAATGTGGATGCTGCAAAATGTGATTGCACCATTGTTAGACAACAGTTCTATGTTCAGCCTGACATCGACAAGTTAAATACCAAATGGAATATACTTATACTATTCTTTTCTAAAATCTTTCTTCCAATTTCAACTTTAAAGCATTCAGAATCTAAAATATTATAAAGAAAGGCAAGTCCTAAAAGTCCAATGATGTTCTTTGTTTGTGTTAAAGACCACAGAATAATCAACTTTATCAACTCAAAATGAGAAAAATTTATGCTTGTGTGTCCAATAATCTGCTGCCTTACTGTACAATTTTTTTCATACATGAAAAGGATTCAAGGAGAAGTTCCTAGAAATTTTTTCAATCTGTCATGACTATTATTTAAATCACAAATTTATYACTCATACATTCTTAGTTTGTCTCTGCACCAAAATCAATAATAAAGAAAAAGTAGAGAGGCTTCTGGAGAGCCTTCTATGCCCAAGAAAAAGTGAGCACTGGGCTGAGTGGGCTCTGACTGAAAATGAATGATTGGCACATGTGCATACATTCATTTACTTACTAAAGAGCAGAAAGAAACAAAAATTACTATCACTTGGAAATAAAGCAGTTTGGAACCATGATCCACATTAAAAAAAAAAAAGAAAAGGCACTGATGGGTCAGTTCATCCAGCTAAGGGGTGACCTGCTCCTGGCAATTCATTGATCTGAACAAGAGCAAGGAAGGGGAGTATATAAAGCTAAWTTTTTTCATTCCTTGTCTATAGGGTCTAGGCAAGGGCAGATGGGTGCTGCACTCCATCACCTGTACTTAGGAATTTTGAGCAGACCCTTGGCAGTGATAAGGGGCAGGCTTTCATGCCTGCAAACACATGGGCTCTCTGCTTCACAGCTGTGTATCACACTCCGAAGGCTCATCAGTATCATCAGCTTCTCTGGAGCTCGTTTCCATCTCTATTTTGAAAGCTGGACCGACAGTTTCCAATGTGTAATCGCTTCTTCTCAAATCTGTGGCAAGAAAAATTCAACAATGCAGCCAAGTAAATGTTGTAAAGAACAAACATCTCGAGCAGTGTTCAACCCAATAACTGATGGCAGTTTGTCTGATGTTTCCAGGAGGAAGAAAATCTGGAACAAGGAGGTTGGGAGCCCTTGGAGGTTGGGGGACTCAGTGGTGTGAGCCCWTAGGAATGAACCGTCCCTGATTTTCCCCTCTACTATCTCCAGCTGCYGCAGACAAAAATAATCAAACCCAGTAAGACTGAAGTTTCAGAATCAAGCAGCAATTATTACTCTATGTAGGCAATGAAGGGAAGGAGCTTTCTCTAMTGAAGAAAAAATGGTAGCTGAAAAGCCACCCAGAAAGCAATCTATTTTGGCTTTCAGTCCTTCAAATCTGCCACACATCAAACAGAAGCACATTCTACCAAATATAACACAAACAATAGGCAATCCAAGTAAGCATAAACAGGACCAGGAAACCTCCAGTGAATTTTCCCCCAGTTAATGCATTGCAAATTTTCTATTCTTAYGCTTTCTTATTCTAAAAACGATTGGAGATGCTATCTGTAGTGATGATCCTGGAAAAACTAGATACCRTTTATCAAAGAAAGGGAAACAATCCCTTGGGAAGAAGTTTTCATGCTGAATGCCAACATCAGGGCAATGAGCTCCCATCCTTACATGGATGGTAGGCAAAAGAGCAGTATCCTCATATCTGCCTTTACACAGAAAGACTATGCCTACCAGAATCTATTAGATCAATGGTATTTTATTTATTGTCTTTGTAGCACACCTAGGCCTTTACTTTGTTGCACTTAGAAAGTTATGCATGGATTAAAAATTAATCTTTACTTTGCATACCAGGAAGTTTCAGCTTTCTGCAGCAAGAATTACAACGATGCTTTGCAATGAAGTTTCTTATTGCATCTTCTCCTAGGTTTGCKGGTCCAAATACCATCTTTCCAGACCTAAAAGAAATATTCTTAAAAAATCAATGAATCTAAACTAAAGGAATTACAGTGAGCAGAGGAAGATTATGACTTTTTTTTTTAAATCAGAGTTAGCCCTTCTTATCAAGACAATCAAAGGTTAATATACATTACAAATTTCTTAGATATGGGACAAGAAAACTGTCAGTTCCAGTAAAATATTAGCCTACAYGCACCCCACACTACTTTTCTTTTTCTCTTAAAGGGAGTCAGGACAGAGCCAGCAGTTCTTACTAAACTGCTCAAAGGAAATYTGGGCACAGTGACATTTTGATGACATAGGCCATTATCTGCAAGCTTCTGCTGCAGCCACCGCTCATTTCCGTCAAGCAAGTAGTTTGGTTCCAGTTTTGATGGTGGGCATGTGAGAACAAACCAGAGCTAGCAAGGATTTATTTCCACCTCAATTAAAACCAGAAAGACAAAAGCTAGCAGAACCCTAGTCACAACAATATGCAGCACAGAAAAATGTATAATCAAATTTCATTARTCACGACAAAATTATTTAATGCCAAAAACAATACAGAAGGACATTCATAAAAATAAACTTCAAAATAATGTAGATAAATATTATCCCTGTTTTAAAGTGGGTGAGMTGAGTTGCTGTGTGAGCTACTTTGGTCAGTGCCTGTCCACTCTTTACAACAATAACTCTTACAGTTTATGCTACCACTGATACAAAAAATCTCCTTGAGCAATAGTTAATCAGAATTTTATGTATCTGTACCAATCTGCACCTTAAAAATATTTGCTAAAATCTAGTGAACAGCTACATGACTGACCACTCTGCATCTCTAACTTGAGMTATCTGCTTCTGTCATGAACCTGTTGCCTACTTAGGGCAAAGACTTTGTCACCGTGAAGTGCTCAGCACATTTTTGCTCTCATGTCTTTGTTGTTTCCAGAATAAATACTACATGGCCAATACACCTACAGTCATAATTAAACATTAATGCAGTTATTTATTACTTACTTTGTCAAATATTAATAATGGTCCTAGAACTAAGAACTTGCTTACAAAATTAACTTTTTCTGAGTTGCAAGCAAGTCATCTGTTATTTCTACAGTTAATTTCCCTTTGTATTACATTAGACTATTCACACTTGTACCTTCCTCCCTTGCAAACATGACACTTCCATCAAATGACATGAGCTGAGCAAGGGACAGCCAAGGTGAGCACCAGACAGGGCAGGGGCAGGGATGCCAGGGCAGATCTGGAGAGATATGTGGGTTTAGGAAGAACACCTTGTAGGAGAGCAGCCCTCAACACCACTGYTTCTGCTCTTGCTACAGGAAATCCCATCCAACAGCAAGGTCCCAGAATGGGAGAACAGCCATGGTTCTGATTCTGAAATTTGATTCAAAGGCAGACTGCTATTTCWGTGTGTTTAGTCTGTCCAGTTTTTGTAAGTTTCCACTCATTATTTACCATCTCCCTATCACATCTCTGGGCCTGTATCATCTGCATGCTTAAATGCAACAGAAAACCTCTCAGAGAGGTTAAAGAGCCAGAGGCCCTCTCTTCAACCTCTTAAGCCATTGTGGTCCCACATGCTCCATGAAACAATCAGGGAAACTAGGCTGCCACATCCACATCCTTTGGTACAACTTTGTGAAGAGACTGCTCCCAGCACACCAGCGCAGACTCTCCCCACCTTTCACACACCTCCCACCACATGTTGAGAACTGGGACACCTGGAATCCTCCAAAACACGGGAGAGGATGTAACCTCTCCCTCCACTGGCACCACACTTTCATTTAACCCAAATCCCATGTGGAAGAATTATCAAACCTACCCCACAAAACATTCAAAAAAAATCCTAAAAATACAGAGTGCTGGCAGAATGTCTGAAATGAGTGATAATTTAAACATAAAGAAACCTACTTTTTGTCTTCAGGTTTAATCACAGATGGATCTGTAAGGTTTTCCCCAACACCTGCAACAAATAAGCATTGTGTGAGTTACAAAGGAAGGTAGTCATGATTTCATAAGCTAATACTTAACAAAATAGATAATTAATCATTTTCTTGGTACATTCTAAAGTGGCATAGTTACAGTGGTTATGTGCTAGAATGAAAATGTTATGAGTATAAAAATCTGTTAAATATTGGCAGTATAGCTCTTATTACTATTCTGACTTCAGTTTCTTTGTGGCTTATTTAYATGTAGATGGAAGGTATATGCAAATGCAATAAATATTATATTGAAGCTCAACCAATTAAAAAAAATATGACCAACCAAAATACTGTTATTTTACTTGGAGTAAAGCTACTAATCAGATATGAATCTTACAAATATCAGTAGACCCATTTTCGGACACACATTCTGTTCAAGGTAAGACACATAAGAAGCCAAAACTTAATCACGTGCAAATATTTGGCCCTATTATCCCTTTGTCCATTTGGGTGGCCAAGGAAGCATATTAAATAAATAATTACATTTTGGTAACCGAATGCTGATACCTATGTTGCAGTTTTCACCAAATTATACCACCTTTTCTAATATCTGATGAAGTTGCTGTGCTTTTACCCTAATAAAAAATATGATCATGTGATATTCAATTATTTTTTATTTCAACATGGCAACAAAATAAATAGYCTCGAAACAGCATAATGTGACTGAAATATCCCCAAATGGCAACATTCTGCAATGTAGGCCATTTCAGTTGATGTAAATTAGGCAAAATGTGGTGTATAAATATGTGTGTATGTGGAGATGGCCCTGATAGTAAATTGTGATGTAGATTCATCCTAGCAGAACTCCATGGGGAGCAGTCTTTGCGTTTTTCCTCAGTTCCACACTAGAGCATTAAAGATAAACACAAGGCCAAGACTAGAGCTGATCTCAGTTTATTTGAGATCAAACCTGAGGTTTACATAGATGTTTACATTCTCCATTTTTGAGCCAACACAGTTGTTCTTGAACTGTGAGAGCTGTATAATAATCCCAAACAAATGTCATAGAAATTCTAATAGGCAATGGCAAAGAGACAYTCTTTCTGTTCCCTTTTTTTATGTGCAGCTAAAGCCAGTCAAGGCAAGGATGGAATTATAGCTTATTTTGCATAATAAGTATGTGTTTTTGTAATTTACAGCTTCTGGATGCTGTAAAATGTAAATATGTTAAGTCTCTGGCTACTCATAGACTTTTCCCTTGACAGAAATGAAAAGCAAAAGTGTTTATACTGTTTGATGGGTGATGTTCATCTGAACATTGTCAACTGTTTCATCYCCTCAAAATATGCCACCTTCCCACTTACATATGTACAGTAAAATGATCACATGTTCTTTGAAGGASTCACCAGACTTTGTGAATAGCATTCAGGCTTACAATTTACTTAAACTGCATACAGATTTAATAATATGAACAATAAAAAAACATGCAGATAGCAGTTCACACTCTTTTGACAGATTTACATGCACATTAAATGTGCATATATACATGAGTTCACTTGAATCTTTGCATTATTTATATATGTTATGAAAAATAAAAATACTTTGACCATGGAGTGGCTTTGTTGGAGCTGGATGAARTGTTCCTGCAGTTTATCTAACTGCTCTTTTAGTCCTTCAGCCTGGAGGCATTTGAAACAATACTATTTCCCATTCCACCTACATTAATCTCGACAGTTTCAATGGTTTCTTGTTTATTGGGATCACATGGCAGAAATCCAGAGGTTTCTTGAGCTTTGCACTTTCTCACGTAGGTGAGAATTTGGCCCATTCCTCAGTACTAAACTCTCTTTTGAGGTAATTGCTTTTCATCTGGTTTCAAACAGCAGTCCTATGCTGGCAGTCACCTTGCAAATCCAGGACCAGGAGCTCCCCACGGGTGTAGACRTAGGTCCAGTGGGAGAAGGCCAGCATCAGCTCTTCCAGCAAGCTGATGGGAGTGATCTCATCTCCGTTGTTGTTGTTGTATTTCCGAAATTCACCAGTCATGTACTTCTCGATGGTCAGCCACTGSTTTGCTGAATGGCAGTAGATAAGGAAAACTTCCAGGAACCTGCAGATACAAATTCWGTGTATCAGGAGCTGGCAAGGCCATTAGCATCATCACAGTCAGCAAAAGGCAAGATGCAGAGCAAGTATACCAAAAAGGAGGTCATCTTTTAGGTGGAGCATTTTGAACCACAGTAGGTACCATATGGTAGAGAGAACAAAGWCTTTATTGGTATGGTAACTCTCAAAACAAAGTACCTGATCAGAAAGCATAGTTTATGAACAAACAACATAATCTGATTTACACGAGCCCACTGTAAMAATGAGCTACAACTAACTGCTCTATGTTAACTGTATGAAAGGCAAACCTTGCTTAAGTCTAAGGAGCAGAATGTTTACTTTGCCACCACATGTAGCTATAAAAACAAACTTCAGAGCTGCCTACYTTTCCTCTTACAAGTTCATTAACTGTCCTTAGACATTATTATTATTAGCAATGCATTATCGTTGCAACCCACAATGGAAAAGAAGGCAATAAAAAAGAAACTTCTTTCACCTACTACTTAAAGGCACTGAAAATTTACCTTGGAGTATAGGGAATAGTATGAGGCTTCACTTGGTTGAAGGTATAGATTAACTTCTGGGCTACCCTTTGCTGTTGAATCTCCTGAAAAAAAAAAAAAAAAAAAAAAAAAAAAGATAATGTTATAAGCACCATTTCCATGAAGTTAAAAAACCAAGCAAACATGTGCACACACCCCCGATTATCCATTTGGGAAATCACATATTTCTCAAAACCATTTTTCTTTCTGAAGGATAACACCAAGCCACGTGTCAGCCTTGTTGAAGATGCTAACAAGTAAGCAGTATAACATCACCCCAGGCCAATCAGAGTGCCTTCAGGTCTGAACTCACCCTCAGACAGAGATGTAACACTGTGCCATGGTGAAAGATCTTTTGCCAGGTTTGAACCACCTCTGGCAGGAATGACTTCACGATGAACACTTGTCCCAACTTTAACACATCACTCTCAGACCAAGTACAAATGACCTTCATGGCCCTCCGCAGGCCCCCATCCATCTCCTCCTGCGACAAGACTTGGATCATTGCAGTCGTGCCACACTGGGACCAGGAAGACATGCTCTTATCAAGAGTCATGGGAGAGCTTTCTTCTAGCTGATAGACTGTCACTTCCTCTCCAGCTTAAACAGAAGGAAGTTTGGTTAGCAAAATCATGTTTGCAGAAACAGGAGAGAACAGCATTTTAATYTGGTGTCTTTAAATAATATACCACTTTACACATCTTTCCAAGCCACACTTTTTTAAAGAAGACCCCTTTTATCATAACAGTTCATCTGCCTGAAAACTTCCCCAGCCAAACTTACACTACTTGGTACAGTTGTTTTCCTATTATGATAATAAGGAGTCCAAAGAGCATGTGTTAAGGCTCTGAACAAAGATGAATTTAAGACCTCCTGAACACTTCCACACAAACAAAACTCGCTGATATCCTAGTCTAAAGCACTCATTTAAAAGTAAATATTTTTAAAAGGTTACCATTTTAATCTCCAGGGTATGAACTCTAAATATCTTGAGTGTAATTCCCTCTCTTTATGTGCTTATGTGGAAAGGGAATTTTTGATAAAACTGAAGTTAATCATCATCTATGGAATACTCGCAATATTTTCTTTTTAACTTCGTGTTTCACAAAGTAAATCCCAAAAAACAACAAAGACATAATCAAACCTGCAGGAGCAGAGCATCTGAATTCAAATATTAATTTAAAAAGAATAGTTAAAATGATGGCTAAAAATAAACGTAGGGGGGAAATCATAATATTCAGGAAACACTTTGTAACAGTTTTTTACTATAAGGTTAAAGGYATTTAATTTTGTAGTTGGTACAAGATTGACAGTAGTCAAGAGTGCCACCTTTTGCTGCAGACAGAGAGCTGAGCTGTTTCAAAACTGGYGATTTGGCTGTGACATGATAAGCCAGGGAAATTAGATTGAAAAGGACATTTCTAGGAGAACAAGCTAAAGCAAATTATCAGGACACTTAGAGTTTTGGTATTTTAAACTAATATTAGATTTTTTTTTCTAGAAATTCCAATGTTATTTGCAATGATGAAATGTTTAAGTTGTTYTGCTCCTGCTAGTAGAACCTAGCAAGCTTTGACTCAGTTGCTCTCTGTATCCTCCTGTAGAGTTGTAGCAGCTTTCCTCTCTTGTAGAAGAATCAACAACACTTTTCTGTTACCACCATTTGTAAACTACAGAAAAGTGGACTGATTTTTTAAATCTGGCTTTTCTTACTGCAACTCACATTATTTGTAACATTAATTCATAAGAATTACTGGCCAGTGTAATAAGGTAACTATATTGCCACAATGGCAAAGASTGTCATAAGCGATCACAAACTGGATTCAGACAAGCAGATTTCCTTCCCACTCTTGAGGTTGCTTTTTACCAATTAGCAAATATGCAGATGCTGTTGTATGCAGCAATTTATGCTCATTTTAATTTAAAATAAAACAACTGGACATGTCAGGGAATTACACAAAATACACTCACTTGAATAAAGATAGTATAACTAGACACAGTTTTAGATCTTACATTAAATCTTCATTTTATTATCTTTTGACAGTTTAATACCTAGAAAGGATCTCTTGGGAGCTTTGAAGATTAGAATGCTCAATATGCCCATAGCTGTATTAATTATCTACAGCAATCAGGTCACAAGAAATCCCATGGTGCTGCAAATACCAGCTATTAGCTGCTGTGAAACAAAACATTCTGCCCATTGAGAAGGCAACACCCAGATATCGAGCCTAGAGGCAGAGCTTCTGCTGCTATAAGCCAATACTGCACACTGATTTCAGAACCCMTCCCAACAATTTGTGGATTATTCCCCACCACTCTTCATTTACAGCACATTTTCCTTGGCACTAAAGACACTCAAAGTTTTCTGTGCCAGGTACAGGAAGATTGTTGTTTAAATCACTATTCAGTTTTCATCTTGATGGTACATCCTACACAGAGATTTACATGTGTGCCTGTGTTTCGGTCTGTGTGTGTGAAAGAGAAACAAAGAGAATGAGGTGATGAAGGTTAGGGGGAAACTTTTGGCTGTCTTCATCTATCTTAATGATAGATACATAAAAGATGGAGTTAGACTCATTTCTGCGGTCAACAGCAGTCATGTGAAGGCTGACAGATATAAGCTACAGCAGGGGAAACCCCAACAAATACAGAGGTTTCCCTGTATTCACTATACATGGAATATCCRTGTTCCACACACTAGATTCACAAACAAATCAATCAAACATGGCTGCCCAACGAAAATGAGGAATCTCCATTTACAGACAAAATCAAAATGCAATTGGACAAGGCCTCAGCAATCCAATATGAATTGACCACTGAGGGAGCTGGACAAGATGACCTCCAAAAGCCCCTAAACTACTGCACAACTACAATTCTATCTCGTWTTGTCTCTTTCAGAAAAGAATAATTGTGGAAATAAATCCAAGGAAATTTCTCAAACATGGTCTTTACAAGATAATGCAGCAACGATTTATAAAGCAAAACAAATAAAAAATGAATTGGTACTCACCAAAGAGCTGGACTGGTGTGAATGGTATGGTCTGAGCAAGTCTCATTAAGTTGTTTCTTTCAACAGCTGCAAAGAACACAGATTTCACTGCTAGACTGAGCAAACAAGCTGGCTGAGTTTCAAAAACACTTGGCAGCACTTGACTGTAATTACAAATCCAGGGAGGAGGCAGCAGTGTGATACTGGGTCACATCTGATCACTGCCCCTTTTACCACACAGCAACCCCCTTTGCACACTTTTTTGTTTTAGGAATTGTGTTCCCCAATTTAGTGCTCCCAATTTAGTGTTTCCACTGAAACTCATCAAACCATGTGTTCACTTGTCCTGCTGTCTCTGTCCTTCCCCCTGTTGGGGCTGGAGAGGAGAACTGGAGGCTCAACAGAGCAAGGGTTGAGATGAGAAAAGTTTACTGGAAACAGCAATGAGATATGGAAATGAACAGTAACAACAACAGCAGTAACAACCAATGACAAAGGGTACAAAAAATGAACATTGGCAAGGAAAGCCCCTGACAATAGACAAGAACACACCACGTCCACATGGAAGGGACCCTTCCTCCCCAGAAAAGGCCCCTTTCCCCCAGCCTTGGCAATGACCTGAGGCGGCAGAGAACAACCTCTGGGTCCTACGAGGCCCCCTGATGACTTCTGCAAATAATTAACCCTGTCCTAGCCAGAAACAGCACAAAAAGATACCAGAAACTCACTTAGCATTAAAGGTTTACATCTGCAATAACAACCCAGAGTCCAAATTCAATCAGTTACTCCTACACAAGCTTCAACAGGCTCCAGTCTCTTCCACAGGATTAACTTCAACCTAATTTATAGTGACAGCTGACAGTCCAGCTTTCCTTTAGACATTTCAGAAGTCAATATACCCTTGGAAATGGAGATAAATTCTTCACTTTTCCTCTTTTAAGAAACCAAACACAGCCCAAACACAATGACTGCCTCGGGCCTCAGCTGTACCACTTGTCCATTTAGGGGCAGGTTAGATGTAAACATCTGTAAAACTCTGGAGATGTGCATTCCAAAAGAGCGACTTCTCAGTGGAGATGAGTGAAGACTGACTGGTGACAAAGACACAGATTTTTCAAAACCAACCAACCAAAACCAATCCCCCAAACAACCCGAAGGAAATGCAGGAAGCAAACCGCTTTAGTAAGGCACTTCTTGATACCCAGAAGCCATGAGATTATGTTTAGACTCCATTTTTCCACTCAGACAAATTCCATTTGATTGATTCAATGGTCTGCAAAAGCAAACTGGAGAAGGAAGCCTCCCACACTTTTGGTGAATAAATAATGAAACAATTTTAGTCAGTAGAGGATTAAAGAGTTGTGGCAGACTGGCACTGTAGAAAAGACTGCTGCTCTTTTTCCTATTCATGAATTTCCTTTTTCCAAAGAAACAGCCTCTCTGGAAAACCTGTTGCACACCTTCTGCTATCCCCTTATTCTCATCTTTTCACAAAGGCTGCTGCTGCATCGAGCTCCTGGCACCCCCAGTGCAGCAGCACTCACACTGTGCTGGTGGGATGCCTTGACCCCACCTGCCTGAGTTGTCTGTCTTGTCAGGCTTAGAAGCTCCAGGAGATTTACCGACGGGAAATCCAAACTTCCCCTGACCAATGTGGTGTTTCTTCATTCGGGCTCCTTGCCAAAATACATCAGTAGCATTATTATATCTCCCTAAATGGCAAGTTATTCCTTAGGCAAGCACCTTCACAACTTCAGAGAGTCAACCAAATATTTATGGATTTGCCCTCACAAACAGTGACTGAGTTTCCAGGAGTGGGGAGAGAGGGGTAAAGTAAGCACAAAGAAGGAAAGACTAGAACTAAGAGACAAATCAAATGCTGCAGTTCTGACTGTCTAATTTCCCTATTCAATGGTTGCAGACAAAACCAGCATCCCAAGCAGAGAGTGAACCACAACAGAGCTGTGTTTCTCAGAAGAGTATCAGAAAAGCCGAGGTGACAAACTCTGGACCTTATGGAACTTAAGGAATTTGGACATCATCTACCCTTCTTCTAAGATTACTTCTTTAGCAGGATTTAGAGATTATTTAGTCCAGAAGGGCAAAGCAAAGGGGATCCATGACACATCCACCCCATGATTTGGGGTCCTCATTTGAGAAGATCTGCACTTCATACTCCAGTTCAAGGTTCTTTTACTTATACCAAATTCAACAGGCATTGGTTACTAGGTCTAAACAGTTTTGGAGCATGGACTGAAACTCAAGGCCTTCCTTTGGTGCTGCATTAAGAGCACGCTTTGATGATGAAATCAGTACATAACCGGAAGGATGAGAGCAGAGGAGCTGCTAAATATTTACTGTGCCATCCATCAGACCCTGCCAGCAGTTCTTCTAGAACTTTGAGAAGACATGTAGCATGGGCTTGTGCCAGCTACCAAATTTGGGATGAAGATCTAGTTCTTTTGGGTGCACAGAGAGGCAGAATTATATTTGCTTTCTCAAGATGATAGCAAGAACAACACATATGCAATATATGGTGCAGAACCGAACCTAGTGCCCATTTTTTGGGCCTCGTTGGTTAAATTCTAATCCAATCTTCCTGAGGAAAGAAAACCTACACTGAAAACCTCACAAAACATTTGTTGACTCATAAGGGAAACCACTTTCACCCATGCTAAAAAGTCCTACTCATCTCAAACAGCRTGCCTGACAAATAACAAATCAATCCCTGCAACAATGCCACAATGCCGGAGCAATTACGTCTGTACAGTTGATTACAAGCCRAAATGTGTTATTCCCAGTGAAAACCGTGTACATTTTGAACTTGAGAAGGCTGCGGATACGCCTGTTTTTTCCCAGCCCCGCCTGTAATGGGGCCAGGTCCCGTGGGCAATGGTGACATCTACTGGCAATCTCTGCTCTATTCTTCTCCTGGAAAAACTGGCATCCCGGCCTTACGGGGAAACCTGGGCGCATTCAGCTCAGGAAAAGGCAGGATGCAGGCAATTAGAATTCAAAGTGTTTATGCCCTGCCAGATTTTCCAGCGTTCATAGGTAATTAAGTAGTACAGGTCCAGTTAACTGAAGAAAAGTGTCCCAGAAAGTAGAAAGGAGGGTTTGGGAGCTGTAAGGGGAGTGACAGCTATAAACAAAGGAGCACCTCTTCTGCCCCCACAGGAATCTCACCTGGATTCATGGTTTCTACTGATATTTTGGAAGTGATTACCCACTTTCTGTTCTGGCTTTGCCATAAATTCCCAGAATKAAGCAATTATCAGTAAGAAAATGATTAATCATTCTCTCATTGAAGTGTTCGGCATGAATTAGTGCAGAACCTTTTCAGCAGTGAGCAGATGTGCAACTCCTCAAAACAAAAATCACAGTGGATGGCAAGGGAAGAACTAATGTTCTTTTTAATTTCTTTTAATTTGTCAGCTGTCATTCTGGTGCCTCCTGCTTACCTGAGTAGTGAAGATGCAGATCTTGCGATGTTTTCAAGCAGGAAAAGGTATCTAAAATAATGTTTGAACAATAATTGTATTAGTTATTATAGCAGACACAAATGTAGGATTTTTTTAATTCCTTCCATCCCAGAGCTTGTCTCAAAACAGATTAATCAGAATTGCTGGCTCAGCATTCTAAAGAGGAGAATTACTAATGGGCTTTAATTACATTGCAATGCACTACGTATTGGCAAGTTCCAGTCATCAAAGCAGTAGAGCCAGATGACTTATTTAGCAAGGAAATGGTGGAGAAAATGTGATATTAACCTCAAGGACATGTTAAGCCAGTCACCTCYCTGGGATACCAAAAGCATTTTGCTACCCAGCATGCTCCATGCCTTCCCAAAGGCAGGAGTTTCCSAACTCCATCCTCAGCCACTACGCATTCAATTAACCACATTATTRCACCAAAGTTGTAATAATACTGCCCCATTAATCTACAGCATCTAACTTGCGGCTAAGAGATGAGCAGACAAACATTTTCTGTGCCTATATATTTAGGAGAATCAAATTTCATCCAAAAATCTTTTTTTTATAAAAAGTATTTTTACTGCAACCAAGATTAATGAACATGTTTTCATTAACTAGATGAAATAATTTTGTTCTGGTGGAAAACCATCCTTCAAAATGCCAGATTGCAGAATATATATATGTGTATATATATATATATATACACATATACATATATATGTACAAATACTGTACTACTATTAATTTTTTTAGAATGAGATGATCAAAACAATGTTCATCAAAAATTTTTAATTTAACACTTCTCTTCTTGATGTTTTCCATTTGCTTTTACTCCCCTATCTAGTGAAAGAGATCTTATATGAAAACATCTATGGATATCGGGGAAGGCTCAGCATTTTTACTCCCCCTAGTGATTCAAAGTCCCTTGTGTTTTCTTTCTTGCTGKATCCATCTAGTTTTGAAGCATTTCGCATGTTGCAAAAAAACGCAGTCCATGGAAAGGGGCCTTTTGACAAGGGGAAAAGTGGATTTTAAGCAAAACAGTGCAGCAATGTGCTTCAGCACTGCAGTGTTTTGTGCACAGATGAGCCCAGAGGGAGCAGCACCTGGAGTGGAGACGAGACCAGGAGCAACTCCTTCCTGTGCCACAGCTGATCTCAAGAGGAGACAGGTGTCCAGCTAAGAGTTGTGCCAGGAAAACTGAGAGATAGACTAAAAAAAATACCAGTGAAGGTTACCAACGCTCCCCTTTTGAGGAGCAAAGTCCTTCCTCACCAAACGTTGAATTTCCTCACTGGACATTCCATAATAAATTGAGTTCTTCACAGCTTTCAGAATTTCAGGTAAACAACACAAACAGCAATGACACAAAATTGGAACTTGAAAAGTCAAGTATATATTAAAAATCTTATATCACAAKCTACAATGAGGCATACACCCTGGTTTAACTCAGGAAATCCCTTAGACTGTCAGGGATCAAAGCAGTAGAATCTTAAAGAGTTTCTTRCTGCTGAAAGGACAACACTACTGAGCAGATTAGAGTAAAAAATAGATTATTTCCCTTTRGGATTATGAAGTCATTATGAGAAAAACATGTTCTCTTACAAAAATCTTTCACTTTAAAGTACAAATTAGTTACGAACATGTGAAATAATACCGGCACTAKAGTCCTCAACTACAATAAATTAAATTCCTTTTGGATTTTGTACTTCAGAATTGTCAGAGTGAGATTTGCAGATGGCAATTGAAATGAGTGACAAGCAATAAAAAACTTACTGTCAGTTTCCTCTGGAGTCCTCAATCTGTTTAAAAGAAAATATTTGATATTTCAATGTGACATTTCTGTCATCAAGCTAACATTGGTACACGTGGATCATGTGCAAAGACATGTGACTCAGCAATCATAAAGCAAAATAATCCTCAGTGCAACTTTGTTCAGCGCAATAAACAGCAAATAATCTTCAGGTACTGAAGAAGAATTTTCTGCATGATTCTTTCCCTGCTTTATGTTGAGTTGCTCTTGAGCCTGCCTGCTGTTCATCTTTTACACTGCAATAACTGTCAATTACAGACCCTTTCAATCACATACACAACTGTTCATTTTTTAATCAGTGCTGAGATATGTTAACAACTACTTATGTCATTACCATTGCTTGTACAAAAATATGCTTTTTAATTTGATGTTTCTTTGGATTAACAAGTCTGGTTGCAAAAAGACTCCTGCATCAACATTAACATTAAAGCAGTCCTTATTACAGAATGCATAAGATATAATTCACCTCACAGACCTGAGATACTCCATCAAAGACAACAGACTGCATGACAGACTCTGCCACTCAGCAGCTTTTATTTTCTGAAGAAAAATATGCAGTTTGCCTACTGCCTATAAATTATGGAGTGTAAAAAAAAWATAATAAAATAAAAACCATCCTAAAAAAACCCCAAACCATAACAATGGCAGAACACCCAGCCAACAGAATGGGTTCTATACAGAATGCATAGAACTCCCAAAAACACAGTAACATTTTCCTCCTCTCCCCATGATGAAGTCACATGAGATGCAATGGTTTTCTAGTATCTTTTACATACTACCTGAGCAGTGTTACAAAAAAAAAAGAGAGAAATAGAAGGAATTTATGAAAATAAGAAAGAAGTACAGACAACACTGCACATAGCAAAAAATTACTGATATAATCAAGCTTGTAAAGAAAAATTRAAAATCCACAGAAAAATGGAAACCACTTGTGAAACCAGTATACTTTCACTAAATGTAATCAAAGCTTAATAACTTCTGAAAATGCATGAGGAAAACGAAGCTAAATATTTCATAAATGTGTAACTCAACACAAAAAAGATAAATCAGTGAATGAGAGAAGTTTTCAGGAGCTGCTAGCATTGTAATTGCTAAATACATAAAGCATGCAATTGCACAGCAAAAGCAAATACAACTTTTAATGCTGACTAGATCAGAGAAAATGTCTAATTAAAGATTCTGTGGTTACAGAACTACAGAATCACTGCAGAATCATAGAATTATTRAGGTTGGAAAAGACCATGTAAATCATCAAGTCCAACTCTCATCTTAGTGACTGAATTAGAAAATTCAATTATTGTTAAAGTTAGAAAGGGTGTCTATTCCACCTAAAATCACACACTTTATTTAAATGGATCTGCTTTATCTCCATTAATAAGACTTCATTGAAAGAAACTGAAAGTGAATTGCCTTAACTCTTGATTTCACATGGATTTCTCATCCTGAGTATATTTCAGAAGTGAAGTGGAAAGCTGCAGACATTTCTTTCTGAAAACACGTGATGAGTATAATATACTAAAAATACATACGAGGAATTCCTGTTTGGATTACTTTTCTTGGTGTTTCCAAATACRCTATAACTCAAATCCTAAAAAAAGAGAGATACTTTTACTGGTAAAATACGCACATCTTTATCATATACACACTGCACAGCTCAAGAACGTACAATCTTGAAAACACCTCTTAATGTGCTGATTGCTAACATGAACAATGACCCCGACAGGCAGGTGAGTCACAGCACTAAAGTACCTGCACTAAATTGGAACTGATTTGCTCACATTGCAATKTTCCACGTTGTCTCCAAACACGTGAATGAAATACCACCTAGAACTCAATGAACTCACAAAGCTTGTTAAAGGTCTTACAACCTGCACAGGATTAGAGAACTTCCTTTATGCTGGAAAATTCCAGTGCAGGGATAGGCTTTACAGTTGTTGAAAATAAACTCACTCAAACCCCCTGGAACAGAAGAGGGTAACAAGCTGGGCAGCTTTCCAGGGATATTTGGACCACACATTTTCCAGGTCTTATATTTAAAGAAATACTGAAATAATCTTTTAAACTCTGAGCCATGTTAGGAAAAAAAAAATGAACCAGCCGGGTCCTCTAATGTGGTAGTAAGAAATGTAATTACTCTTCTGAATAGTAGTCAGGCAGATTTCGATCCTCAAAAGAAACATACACCCCCACCAAAACCAAACCAAACCAAACCAAAAACCTAGCCCAACATGCAAAAAAACCAAAAAACCAACAAACCCCCCCCCCAAAAAAAAAAACCACAAAAAACAAAAACAACAACAACAAAAAAAAACCAAAACAAAAATTCAACAAACAAACAAGAAACAAAAGCTAAAGGACAACTAAGTTTAATGATGAATCAACTGAAATTCAACTTTTAATTTAACCTGAAATAGAACTGACTCCTATATTTTTTTAAATTTCTCTCACATAATTGACTTGTAATTTTTTTAAAATTTCTCTCATAYTGAACTTGTAGATTGCTTTGAAGATGAAAAAACCTTAAACAAAACCTTCCTACACACCTCCTTGCTTTGCTCCCTGCTACCTATCAGGAGGGATTTCTGAACCATTAGTATGCCATGAATGAGGAGTTTCACTTTGAGAAAGATACATATCTTTAAAATACCCTACAAGTGGAACACTTGGATGCCGCAACTTTTTTACTTCTCAGTGATAAATACAAACTTTCATAGTACAGAGRGGACTTAGGGAGAGGCACAACAAATCGGTGGATACTGGAGACTGTATCTTGGAAGAATAAATAATTTGAAGACAGTGTTCTGGAAGCGACTGGTTTCAGCCTAAATCCAATACTGCTATTAATCAGTGGAAGTTTTTTTAGAATTTTAAAAATCTCACACTGAAGTTTTATTCAAAAATATCTTAATAGAGGTTTTGAAGCAGYGAATTACTTCATTCCCTCACAAAGTTTTCCTGATTTTACCTTTATTTTGCCTGTCTGATCCTGTGTTTCACATTTCAAAGATTTTTTTATTTAGAAGCTAGGTTTTACAGAATACAAAATCAGTAAATTTATTTCTATTTCTCTGTCTCATCACTTTTTCATACAAAACCACAACATTTTRAAAATTCACATTAAAGCTTTTGTCCCTGGTATTTGGGATTCAATTTTTACAGCACTCAGAATGGCATAACKGAAATCATTAGGTTCATTTTTATTCCTAAAATAAATACAAAACAAGCAAACAAAAAAAAATCCCAAACCCAATGAAATAAAGCAAACAAACTAACAAAAAAAACCCACAAAAAATCCACCAAAAATCTCACAAAAAACATCTGCCCCAAACATTTTCAGTGAAAATAGATTTATCTTTGCGAGATCTCCATTTTAATAATCAAAAGTGCTATAAGTAAAACCATCAAGGAAGAATGCCTTGGTACTGTTGAAAAGAAAGAGGAAAGGATCTTTTCATATTTCCTTTTCTTAATTTATACTTTGTTAATTTCCTCTCATTTAATTTCCTTTCATATCTCTGAGATAACCCAACAAAGTTTAATGAATGGTACATTTTTTTCCATTAGCCATACCACCTCTTCTATTAGCTACATTTAGTTTTAAGACAGATAATAGTTTCCACAATCCAGATTCCTGCTCAAGTCTTCAGGAAATATAAATTGGTCTAGCTCCATCAAATTCCAGGGGCTTATGTTGGTTCACTTGGGAAAAAGGCCTTTAGATTACAGAGCTGCAGATTTATTCTGGTAAATAATAAAATATGGCATTTATAAGCCAATGGTTAAGGAATCTATGATCTGCAATTATTATGAATATTTAACTACCCTTTGCAAGAAAWAGCTATATGATGAAGTGAGCGGCGTGTAGCTAACTTTCCAAAATTTGCTTCTAATCCGTTCTGCTCACAAGCTCAAGACCAATCTGTGYGCTCCCACATTGCCTGATTGAACGTCAACACACGTCATTTATGACTAAATTAATGTTCAGAACCACTGTAAGATTCAATAATATAATATCCTATTTCAATAATCTAAGTAGAGTGTTAGCAGCTGTTAAATTATTCACTGGCTTCCACACATACACGGTGCCAGCAAACAACAAAACTTCTCATCTCTCACAGAGGTGTGGCATGACAAAGAAACTCTCTTGGTAAATCCAGGGATGACTGTAGAGCTACTCTGGGCTCAGCCCAGCCAAAATTGGGGATTAGGATGTGCAATCCTAGGTCTTACCTCTCGAGAATGCCTCAGGTAATCACAGAACGGTATGGTGTGCCTACTGATGTCTTGATTTTTGGTTTTCTGGTGCTTGTAATGGAGCCGTTCCAAACCTGGCCAAAAGAGCAGCTGTCAGCCATTTCCAGAGTGGGAAGGAGCAGCTCTGTCACTGTAAACTAAGCAGCTGTGCAGTATTATAAAATAAACACCTCTGTACCATATTGTCCCAGCAAGTGTGTAATAGGATACAAACACAATGACAGACTTTGATAGGGTTAAAACAGGCTATTTCCATTCTTTTTCAGCAGACTTGGGGGCACAGCCCTCCTCAGACCAAGTGGTCCTGAGTCACAGCATTCCCTGGTACTTCTCTCAGCAGCTGGCAGGATGAAATCTGTGACCCACATCACAGCAAAGCTGAAAGATGAGACCAATAATGCACAGACTTCTGAGAATGAAAGAGATGGAGAATCACTAAATTAAGAGCAAGAATGTAATTCCTTTTCACTGCAAAAGAGACCATACAGAATTAATTTCTTCACTTAGARGATGTGTTTCTGAGCAATGAGAAATGAATAATGCAGGCAGAGGATCTGCCAGCAGATACAGTACCACAGCACTCCTGTGAGTGTAAATGTTCTAAGAAATCATGAGTTTATTTTTTGCAACTAGCCAGGATGTTTAGACGTGTCACTTTGGAATTTACTTCAGGAGAGGAGACAAAGGCATCATTCTCCTTGTCCATACTTGCTCCTGAGTATTAGCACTCTGCTATCTCCCATGCAAGACAGGCAGTGGTCCCAGAAAGATTCAGCTCACCTTCCATCCAACCTATGGCTCTTCAATTTTTCAAGACATGCATGCCTGGAAACTAAGTTTAGTTTTATGGAAATTATGCCAACAGATGAAAATGGTGAATGACATTTTGATTTTTTGTATTTTATTTACTGCTTATTTTTAAAAGCACTGTTTGCAACATGTAACATACTTAGCTGACTGAAATTAGACACRGTGAGCCAATTCTTGCTGTGTTTCTCTTGCTCATCCCAGACACTGATCTCTGCCGGCTCTGAGCTCACTTGAGTGTTCTGGGGACAATCATCCACTCTAATCACCTGGCAAGAAACAGACAAAGCAATACTTAATTTTCACAATGATTAGGGTCTCCACAGTTTCTCTGACAGCRTCTGACATGGCCTTTTAGAGCATCACCAAAATGCCAATGACTGAATGCCGTCCCAGCTGAGAATTTTCCCATTTTTGTTGCAAGCTGCAGAAGATATGTTGCTTTTGTCTAGTAAGTACCACTGATGAAAAGCCTCACACTAACTGAAGGTATCTGAACTTTGAGATCTAGTACCTTYAGATATATTAAATTTCAAAGTACAAGTCTAAGATCCTTTGCTGACCTGAGTACCTTATGTAAACAAACCAGTCCTCAGCATTCATCTCTTTTAAGAGTGATAATTCTTTCCAAATAACAAAGACCCTAAAAATTTCTTTATAGCTCTAGAAATAGACACTTATTTATTAGCACACAGACACAGTTGCCAAAGTTGCCCCATACAGGTCACATATTCAATATGCTTTCTGCAAAGTGCAAAATGTGCTAAATGTTTGATGGGTTCTGAAAAAGTCTATGGGARTCCTGCTGGATGACAGCAAGGTCAAACCAGAAATCCCACACATTCACAAAAAGGGAAATCAAACAAAGCTACACACACACGAGATGCCCCAATTGTGTGCAGCATTTTCGATGTATACATTTTCAATTAAGCCACACTGCAGAACAACTCGTAAGAAACGAAAAATACAATTTTGAGATGCACGATTCTCTTGCATATGCCCATACCGGCACCTGAAGAGGTTTTTGATTCCTCTTTCCTCTCCCAGACTTTCTGTCTCTGTTTTGCTGTTTTGCTTTTGTTGCCTCACTGTGGTGTAGCTCACTGGATCCTAAAGATTCTGCAGGAAAGAGTCAAAAAACACCTTTAAGCTACAGAGCTTCTGTTTACTAAAAGAAAATCTGATAGGACTGAGAACTGAAGATGTCTAAAGCAATCTGAGAAATATGGATAACATCCAAACAGAGGACTCAAGTAGTTCAGTGCAAAGATGTACACACCACACAGGATATAAAAAACCAAATATTATCCATAATTTCATACTACTTATAATTACAACAAATCTGACGTATTTTAGCTCTTGATAAGCAAATTTGATGGTGGACAGGAAGGTATTTAAACTGTCTACAGAAATCTATGCCTTTTCATTCCCAATGTACCCATCTGTGACACTGCTGATATATCTCCAGGGGATCGTGTAATATATTAAGGTTCCTTCAACTCTTTCGTTGCAACCCAGGGCATGAGACTTCCTCAGAGTGAGCACAATCCTTCTGTCACCTGTCTGTGTAGTCATGAGGACATCCCATGAAACAGGGCAAATAAGGGTAGCTGACATATAGACGTGTTGCAGCTTGGATACCAAGCACCCTTCAGATATTCTCAACAGCCAGACCCACCCAAAGGAAGAGAAAGAGGAACTCTGGATTCTCTACTGCTATCCACCACTGCATCTAATACCTCCTTAGGGGCAAATGAAACATCTTTGTAATGACTTGGACTCCAGTAAAAGATACTGTACAGGTTTAAAGTTTACCACCTATAGCCTTGCAGGTTTTCCCTGATTGCTGTTTCTTGGGGGATGGTAAGCTGTTGCTTCTGCAGAAACTCCAGTCCCTCCAGAGTGGGCTGATCCAGAAGGAGATGCTTCGTTTCAGTCTGTTCTGAGAGATGCTGCTGCTGTGACTCGACTTGTCGGAGTTGTAGGAGAAGGACTTYGAGCCACTTAACTGGACATGCCTGGGAGGAGTATTCTGGAAATTGTTGTCCCTGTCACAGGAGGAAGGTATGTACAGGGCTTTCTTCTTGGAATCTGAGATGAAAATTCCTTTTTCATCGCCTTCAGAGAATCCCCAGTTCACATAACCACCTTCTGTTTCTTCCCTGCCATCACAGGGGGATGCTGCACTTTCTTCAATACCCAGTGACAGCTGGAGACCAAGAGGATGAGCATTGATCTTTTCTGGTGGCAAATGAACAACAAAGTCTCTCTGGCTCCACTGAAAACCTTCTGGCTCCTTTCCAAGGAGGTTGATGCTCGGCAAGCTTTGCTGAACCACAATGCTACTCTGCAAGTCATTTCTGAATGCCTCATCCTTGTACTGGGCAGAAGTGTCCAAAAAGGACCAGTTTAAGGTGACATCCTCAGAAAAAGACCCTCCCTGATGGTCAGGGGGCATCAAAAACTGCCCATACCTAGGAGATGACTTAGTCTCRGAGGATACTCCTGAAGTGAGTGTGTCTGTTTCCATTTCCACCTGTCGACAGCTGTCCTCTACCACCTTGTTCCTCTCAGAGCTYAGGGGTTTGCATTCTGATGGTGACTGAGTCCGCACCAAGCTCCGTAAGAGGGAGGGTGGCATGCTGTAATAGTGGTACTTCTTGTCACACAAGCACTCCAGGCTGCTCAGAGTCTTGGAATAGAATGCATTGCTCCAGCTGTGGGGCAGCTTCCGACAGGGTTGGTGTTTTCTGTCAGCCAGTAAGGCTTCTTCCACCTTCAAGGTGTCCACAGCTGAAAGCACTTTCAGGATGTCCACGGTCAATGCAGACAGGTCTTGCAAATGTCCTAGCTGGCTATCCAGGGAGAAYAAAGACTCCTTGATATAAAATACCTTCTCATGCACTTCTTTAAGTTGTTGAAACATCTCTTCCACTCTAGAGAAAAGAAGAAAACGTAATTTAAAGACCCCAAAACATAGATGTTTACATGTTTGCAAGATGATGAAAGAACCATTAACAYATTTCAAGAAGTCATTGTTTTCAAAAGGGCTTTTTTTTTCTTTTTYAATGGTGACTTTCTTTCCTATAAATATCCATATTTGACAACAGTCAGCCAACTGCCAGTGGGTTTCTGAAGGAAGCAGATTTTTTGCTCAAAGAGTACCTATTTTAAAAACTGCTTTTTTCCTACTAATACCCATTTATTGTCATAGCTTTACTAAACCGTGGATGGCAGGGTACACGGGCTGTTGCTGCAAATGAAATATACTGCTTGTCAGCTGGATGTCCTGCATTTTACATTTCTTGTGCAAGCATGGAAAGGATAAGGCTCACACAAATCTACAGGTACCCTTTAATCCTGCATTTCTCAATTCTGGAGACTGCAGAGGAAGGGGGCTTCCCAAGAACCGCTCTGGTCTCTGGAAGCAGGTTCTGCACATCTTACACCATTGGTTATCTTCAGGTAAAATTCAACTGCCCAAAATGGAAAGTTTTTTTATTATTATCTTTAAATTCCCCAGTGAAAAATGCAGGAACTTCTTGGCCTGGAATTACATAATTTTAACCAAATCTTTATCTTCATATTTTCTGAAAGTACTCTCTGACACTCTAAGACAATGATAAACTAGCTTCAGGCAGTATGCAGTACTCATTTCWTTCCTTTGTCACAGAGTAACTAAAATATATAATATTAAGCCATTGCTGAATAAAATCAAAGACCAGAACATTTTATTAATCTWAATTAATTTTTTGCAATCATGTTATGCAATTCTGTGAAATGTGTTTCACTTGTAGTCAGAAAAAAAATCCTTTCCAGATCTATATTTATTCTGTAAATGAAACGTTCTTGAAATGATCAATTCTGCAGCTTTTGAAAAAAGYTACTTATTTAAATTCTTTTTAAGGAGACATTTATTTTGTTTCTGTGTTTTGTTTCAACATGCAGAAAACAAGATTATGAACAAGCAAAAATTAAGATGCTATCTTTCTCTAGGCAAAACAAATTTGTTAGATGAGATCAGGGTTGGCATGTAATAAGACWTTTTATAGTTTGAACTGGGAGAGTAATGCTCATGATTGAGAATCATGGCTCTTTACAGAAACAGCCATTGCAGCAATATTTGCAGTATGGTGTCTAGGTTTACAAAATGTCAATACACAAGTGCCAACAGGGATTCAAAACTGTYAGTATTGGCCTAATTTAGCTTTCTATTGAAATCAGTGGTGAATATACCATTAATTTCTATGGAAAGAGTTTTAAAAAAATGAAAACCCTAAGTTTTAAACAAAATTAGGTATTATATGCTGTTCTCTGGCTTCCTTTTGTAGTGCAACCTGATTTGCAAAAGTGAAACTGAGCAACACCTTACYGTACCTGTTTAACCATGTGCACACTTCTCACATCTGGGGATGCCATTCTGCCAGCARGGCTTTCCAGACAGACCCACCTGTCACCTCAAACCAATGCAGACATTGAAACAGGTACATTTCCATCAAATTAACGAGGCCTATGTGTATTCACTGTGGCCACAGCATGCCTCAAAAGCACTAACTTATCAAACTCTTTTTATGTGATAAATTTATACAAAAACCATAAATATGCACAAARCCACACCTTTCTGTGGTCAAACGGATCCTTTCACTGTCACTGGAACTCAGGTTTTCATTCTTTTCATGAAAATATTCTTCCACACACTGTTCCTCAAAGTCATGGAGTTTCTTTAACTCCTCATCACTCAGGTAAAGCTCTGAACAAAGGAGGTAAGAATCAGTATGAAGCATGCTGATAATTGCAATCATTTATTAGTGTCCACCAGNNNAAACCACCTGTGAAAAACTTGTTTAGACTCCCCCTTGGCAAGAATGAATCACACCTAACTGTATGAATTAGGGCTTGAGTGTAAGGATTCAACATGTCAAATACATGAAAACATGGCATTTTGTCTTTCCTTACACAAGGAACAAAACCACATCGACAAAAATCCCAGGGTACTCCTCTTTAAAGCCTCAAAAGTGCATATTGGAAYGGCTGCTCACAAAGGTGTATTTTCCCACAGACCTTTTCCTTCATTTTGTTATACACGTGTCACCCACAAGATTTGCATATAGTTAGGTAAGGCTTACAAAAGATTCAGTCAATTTGGTCCAGGCATTCACTTAGGACTATTCACCTACAAAAATTACTGCCCATTCAGTTCTTAAACCTTCAGACTCTTCTTTTCTTCACATAATTAATTTACATCTGTTCCAAGCAGCAAGGCAGCAAGTGTTTGCTACAAGGATGCTACAGCAACACAAGCTCAGCAGTGAAGACCCCTGCAGTGTTTTGGGGTTCCCCCTCTCACTYCAAATGAGACTTGATCACCTTCTAGGCACTTTTCTCCCTTAACTGATGTCTGTTTCTTMCTCCAAGATTTTACTCTGTTTCTTGGTATTGATTTTCCACAGGGTGGCACTGGATCCTCATTGTGAAAACCAATTAATTATAAAACCATAATTAAAGAAAGYTATCAAGCAATGTGAAGGTATATAGAAAGGGTATCCAGAAGTACCTAAACAGAAAAAAAAACCCTTCTGAGAAAAGTGTTAGCAAGGCACGAGTCCTCTTCTATCCAAGGACTTTTAGATGTGCAAAGCAGGGRTTTGGGTTTCCCTTTAGCCTCATACTCGTTACAAGACACCCCCTGTGCCATGTCTTGTGCTAACTTGTGCTTGCACATAAAATAAGCRATGGCCTCCCAGAGCAGGCTGCTGTATCCAGCTGAGGAGGAGCTGAGCCTGGGAACAGCAGTGCAGCAGCTCAGCGTTGGTTAGTTTATCCTGGGTTTGGACTCTGTAAATAGCTGTGGCATGAACAGACCTCTTCAGGGATTCATGTGCAGCAGAGAACATTCTGAGTGAGCCATAACCCAGGCAGGGTCTGCACACCTCTCTTACAAGGTATCAAGGGTGTGAGTTGCATCAAAAAGGATGAGGCTGTAAAATACCATRTACCAGTGCTTCCCAGTGTTCTTTTAGATATGGTTACGGTGACCAGCCTCTCCTCCTCCCCATTTCCCTTCCTCAACTGCACCACCAAGCCCCACTGCTGGGTATTCATTTACATCCCAATGTCCTGAGGTCCCCTACCCACAACAGCAAGAGCTACTCCGGGCAGAGCTGGAGGCAGTGGGACAGGGAACTGGCATCACCTGAGAACAGCATTAGGAAGGACCCGGGATGAAGAAGTTCAAGCTGGGAAAGGTGAAGAAGGCAAGGTGCATTGATAAACCAGTGGAAAAAGGGAGGGGAAACAGCGAGGAGATGGGAAGCCCCTTTGCTGTCTCTCTGCATCTGCCATCACTCCTCTATCCTTGGCAATTTTCTCCAGCTAATGAAAGAGGAATTGTTGGTGTTTTCATGATGAATATGCAGAAATGTACACCTTCAGTACTGCTTATTTTCTTAAACAAAGAGAAATTCTGTATTCAGAATAAGTTGCTGTCTGAACAGAATAAGTTGCTGTCAGTTTTTTACAGCTCAGAGTTGTGAGATATCTTGACTGATACACAGTATGTAGCACAGCAACAGCCAATCACAAAGCAAAGCATCCCCCTAGTCACCTAGTCATTTTTCCTGCAATAGTTTTCAGGCGGGCAAGGTAAATTCTTTCTTTCAGATTAAAGCAGGCCCGTACCCCGGAATTTTTTGGTTTTGTTTGTTTGGGGTTTTTGTTTTCTGTTTGAAGTCAACTCCACAGTGTTGGGAGTGATGGGGTGAACTCTTTCTTTTGGTTCCCAGCTTACTTAGTCCAACATCGCCTTCCTCTTGGTCCAGCTCGTTTGGGGGCTGATGRCGGAAGATGCAGTTTATCAGAAGCCCAATGTGACTCAGGAGGATGAATGGTGGGGGCAGCCACGGCTTCTCATGGTAGGTCATGATGTAGCGGTACCGGTTGTACTTCCAGAGCTTGTTTGATATGGATTTCAAATCAAAGTAAACGTTACTGAGGAGAGAGGGAGAGGGGAAGGAGGGTGAAACACTCATGTGAGGAGTACTCCCAGTGTAGCACAAGACACCTCTCTACAGATCCAATCTGACACTGAGGAAAAGCCCCATTTCCCCAGTGAGGTAAATCAGCTTAGCAGCTTCCATTTGACAAAGCAGCAGCACGTGTCCACAACCAGTGAACTGAGCATGAGATCGGTAAACCTGCCTAACACATCTGGAGATCCAATTCCCATCCATGCTAATGGGAGCTGAGCAAAAGATATCACTGACGTGGCTTGGAAATCCCAGTGATATTATTTAAACTTCAATACACAGCCTAACAGAGAACCCAACATTGTTTGCCTCTTTGGACTGGATTAACAGCAGGCATCAAACTAAGAGAAGAGGGTTTACAAAWAGTCCTGTGCACTCCCCTAAAAACATCATTGCTGCAGCTACACAAGCCGTTCTTCTGCAGAATATTCATTAGAGCTGTGAAATTGCTGAACTTGACTGCTGTCACATTGAATAATCTTCTGTATCTACTATCATAAATCCAAGCACAGGAAAAAACCTTGTGGTTTCTAGCACTGTAATTTCAGGTGCACTATCATACCACACACCCAGCAAAAACATCAGATTTCCTTCTGAGAKCATAATTTCTCATACCCACACATTTTTAGTCCCACTTCTGGAACAATCAAATCACTATGAAGAAGATTGAGCATATCATCATTAAACTAAAGGTTTAATTCAAAAAAAAAATTCAAATTACTATTTCACAGCTCTAAAATAATATATAATGTATAAAATAAACATTTTATTCCTTGACACAATTTCAGGAAAGGGATTTCTTATTGGAAGAGGAAATAGAATGAGTTTTGATAATTCAGTTTCTTGAATATTAATGACTTCATTTATTCATTTGATTTTTTTTTTTAGCGTACAGCTGACTTTTTCTTCTCCAAAAATGCTAGAACTCTAGGAAAAAAAAACTACTTGGGTTAGGCTGCTCTTTACTAACATTTTACACAATTTGATCCATTACAAGGAGTTCCTGTCAAAACTTGAAGGGTTAGAATTACTATAAAGAGACTCATTAATTACTGTAGTATTACTATAGAATTACTAAAAAGACCCTTCCTACTCTGGCAACCCACATTAAAAGGCAAATTGTAAAAAACATTACAGTTAGATTTCCATCTAGAACATTGCATCAAATTACAAGAATTTTGAAATTATTTCCTAAASAAAAAGCATACTCTTGCAGTCATTATCCTCTTCTCTTGAACACCTCCCACACATCTGCCAATTTGGAACTTGAGCTACCCTATGATCAATGCTACATAGGCTCTCAGTACAACAAACACAACTTTTAGGGAAAAAGGGAAAATTACTTCAGAGYTGAATTAATGTTGCCTTTTTTGCCAACTGCAGTTGTCTGCTTCCACAGAGTCAGATTCTTTATAAGTGCCAAAACAGTTTGGGTGTGTTCTCACCATCCCTTTCCTCTCACCGTCTTGCTACCACCATTCTTTTTCTTATTCAACTCATCCCCATAGCAGATGGGGTACAAACACGACCACCAAGATGCCCTTGCTGGGGCATTTTTGGTGAAATCTTTTGCAGCACTATACCCAGGTACTTACTTAAAGAAYGCAATAAGCAAGTTGACCATGATGATGTACTGCACGAAGAGGTAGACAGCTTGGAGGAATGGTGTGAGGAAGGAGCCAGGAGGGCAGTCTTCATTGGTTTCACACACTGGAAATGAAGGACATACACAACATGGGTAGCTAGGAAACCACAGCAGAGCACAGCAATGGTCTGTGCTTCTCATTTGTCCCATCAAGGAACAGAACAGTCCTCACTAATTTCACAGAGATACATCACTGCATTTCCAAATTAATGCCCAGCACCCACCTAAAGGAGAACTGAGAGCTCTTCATGCTGCTACTGCCCTAGCTACCATTGCAGTTCAGAAGCTGCAGACACCAGTTCAGACATATCAGTCCTCATGCCAGCCATTTCACWCTTCGTTAAGGAGAAAAACAGTGAAAGTGAAAATGCAAGTGAAATGAGTTTGGGAGATGGCACACGCTCAAGTGAGCTTCACAAACTCCACTGTGGAAAGTGGAGCTTTCAAAAGCTGCTCAAAGCAGCTTTATCAGCTCAAAGCTGCTTTATCAGTTCTGGAGCACAGAGCTTCACACAAAACTTAAAATTAACTTGTGTGCAAAAGGATATATGGATACCAGCATTTGTGACATGAAGCAACAAAAAATGGAAATTAATGGACACTTTTTGATGTTTTTCAATTGTCAAAATAAATATGTTTTGATCTTTKTAATCTCTAATCAAATTTTACTCTTTTGAGGAAATTTTGAAACATGCTTATAAAGCAGCAGCCCTAAATTCAGGACATATTTTGCAGCATAAAGAGTCACTAGAGAAATAATAGCTTTTTGGGAAGTGTCAGATTTCTAAAGGTTTAAAATTATTAAGTGATTACATGGATTAAAGTGGGAAACTTAACATTGTGCTTTCATCAGAAGAATTTCGATTTATATAACTAAAATACATGTGACTGTTTCAGCTGTAAAAATGGATGCAGCATCTTTACTTATTTTAATGAATTGGGTCGGTGCCAAACTATGTACCCTAAATATACATTTCTATTTGCAAGCCTACTTTCCTGTTTTAGGGGCTGCTCACTTATACCTTCAGTCAGCAGCATGACAGCACCTTACATCTCTAATGTTTCAATACCTGTGGTCAGCCTTGTTCCTCTGTCTTACTGAAACAAGGTCAAAGCCAKAATCAAGATGTATAATTTTTCCTATATACATTGTTTGGTTCTATCTCTCCTATCTGCACATAGTTTACCTGTATAAGAATGGTGSCAGGTAACTTATTTCTCCCTTACTTTTCCCCCTTTATTCTTTCCTCCTTTAAGGCAACTTTATCGTTTTTTCTCCAAGAGCTCAGCAGCTTTGGATTCACTTAACTGGAAGATTATTTCACTGCCAGATCCCTTGACCAGGCAGCAGCTCTGYATTAGTTCCTATGAGATTTGCCCTGATAGTTGCAGTAAACTTAATTTGAAATACTAAATTTGAAGGGTTTAAAGCTTAATCTTTATTTTTAACAAAGAAACTCCTATTTTCAACTTCATTCATGCAGTATTATCCATTACAGACATATATATAGAATCAGAATTATTTGAGAAAGAACAGACTTAGCAGGTAGTCAAAAATTCAAGTAGACCAAAGTAGGCATGTTTCTGCACATATTTAATTTAAGCTGTTGAACTATATTCTGAAAATTACCTACCATCTATTTCTCCAGCATAGACCTCGCCAAACATCATCCAGTAGGGCTGAAATACAATATCTCGTGCCAGTGTCCAAGAAGGAGGCTCCTCTGGTGAAAGGATTGCCTTTCGGGATACCCCAAAACTCAACAGGACTATGGCCATCATGACCACAATGTAGAACATGTTTGCTGTCTGGAAGATATGTTTGTGTCAAAGAATTAGCTGTGTTAATTGTAGGTAAAAGAGACATTCATTTTTGGGAACRGTATCAATCTCCATTTTTACAAATTAGAATTTAAAATTGGAGTAATAATCTAATATGCTGGGCGAAATAAAAATATTTTATTTCTGTGATCTGCACTACACGACCATTTTATAAATGTTAAAATCATCCTAGATGAAAAAGCCACAAGTCCTACTTGCTTCTCATGTCCCTCTCAGATCTTCAACAAGACATAAAAAATGCAGAGACCTTAAAATGGTGATTTTGCTCAGTGGTGCTTCTTTCAAACTGAGAGCAAGGAGCAGCAGTAAAAAATATTTTGTCTTCTAAATAGTTACTATGAAAGACAGAAAATAAAAGTATTAAGAAGCAAGCTCTCAGTAACTGAGGCCAAGGACAGCAGGAATCTGCATATGTCCCTCAAGACTAGGCAGCAGTTCTAATGGCAAAAGAGAAACAAAATTAACTTTGATTTCACTGAAATTTTGCAGATAAACTGGAATATAATTATTCTAATCAAAAAGTGAAATAATAATGAAACCGTTTCCAGGAGTTAAGGGAATTATCTATTATAATGAGCCTATCTGCAAGAGGCAATGACTTTTCTTTCTCCTGTTACCAAGATTGATCAGCAAATTAACTCAAATGCAATCCTTTTCTAAGGAATGAAGCAAAAGTGGCTTTTGTGAATAAATTAATGTAATTAATAAGTTGAAGTGCAATCTATTAKGGTCAACTCACAAACAGAAAATATCATGGCATTTTCAGATGATACATTCACTGTGAATTAYTAGATGACTTTTCCTTTTCTGTCACTTCTGAACTTCACATATTCCTGAAGGTAGATGYCTCAACTACAGAAATATTGCTCCAAAGCACATACTTACCATTTTCCCAATCATTGTCAGATATGGGCCAGCATGCTGATTCACGGCAAAAAGGTCAAGGAGCCGTGTATACCAAAATATAATATCCAGGCAGTAAAGGAGCCTCCCTGCAGTCTGAACAGGGGGGTTGGACCAGCGCAAACCAAAACCAATCATGAACAGGATGATTGCTACAGAATCAGTAAAATTCCAGTATTCATAAATCCACACCTTCACTTTTTGGCGGAATTTTCCAGGTTCTGAGATAAATACCTGGGTAGTATGTGAGAAACCACAATGAAATGCCATTAAAATCACATATACATTATTTAACCTCTTCTGAGGGAACTATTTCATGATATTTGGGAATGTATCATTCCCAAATAAAGTGAGACCCATTATCTGCATATTGCCTTTCACCATCAATTGAGGTTTTTACTTAATCTATAGGGTCATACTGCTCAACTATGCCACATCAAATGGGATAGGTCTTCCTAAGGAAAAATGGATTCTGCACCTGCATCCRTTCTCTAAAGGGCACTTAGCTTAGCAGAAGGGAAAAGTTGGTAATAGGATTGTTATGAGCACCTATTATTAGCAATGAACAAGCACATTTTAGAGGGATGGTCATGACCTGCAACRGCCTTTTCATTAACCCCTAACCTAACCTAAGCCATGGAAAGTACCAGCCTAACATTGCCGATGGGAACATTAAAAACGTCTTTTATTTCAGACTGAAAATATAAAGAAAGATCCTTGTATTCTGCCAAGGACATGTTAAAAAAAGGAGTACTGGCAACTAGCATGGTAAAGAATTAAATGTTCACTCCTTGAACTGTGAGGTGCCCCAGAGGGATTTTAAGCTTCACTGAGCAAACGTGTGGAGTGGAATCCTTGGGAGGATGCAAATAAGAACTTTGCACAGTGCCACAAGTGAGGACAATTATGCAGYGCTATGTAAGATCACACTGATAAGTAGCAAGCAAAGGACAGACTCTGAAATGTTATGCCCTGATCTTGCAAGAATTTATGCATAAGAACACATTAACGTAAACAAGTGATGCAGACTAACTCACATGAGCAGCTATTTGCAGGGCCTAAGGCTTTAACAATTATTTGATACAATCTAGAGAAACAGAGGTTTGCAGTTATTTATAACAAGGCCCTCAGMAGTTAATCAATTACATGGCTTAGAATGTCCTACAAAGTCTTTGCCAACAGACTCGAACTCTGGTGTGGACAAAGAAAATCAAGTAGAAGATATCAATTTCAAGGTGTCCAACCAATGATGACAGAACAAAGAGCTGTTGTTTCTGCCCAACCATCAGGATGGTGCAAGAGCACAACAGTGATTTCCTAAATGCTTGCTGTTTTAGATTTAACTTGTTTCTCAGGGAATTCTGGTGTAGATTTTTTTAGTCCTGTCTCATGCTGACACAGAACTTGCAAGCTCATCCAAGCTTTGATATATTCTAAGTGTTTTTATTGCCCCTTGAAATCCTTCACCTCTCTCACACTGATTTCACATTCTCCTGAGTGATCTGTTTTTGCAGCATCCTTCATTGAGAACTGTGGCTATTTTTTTGTAGTTTTATTCCTCTAAAAGTACAGAGTTTCAAAAGTTATATAAAAGACAATTCACATTACTATTGTTTCCTATGTGCTGATTCTACAGGGAAGGTATGTTGGAGCAGATACCATAACTGGGGAAATGCACAGTGGCATTTGTCCCCAAACTCAGGTTTGGAGTGTGAGTTCTGTTCAGGAGCTTGGGTCTAATTAACAGCAAATAATTGCAATCAATTTTGTTTGGAATCTCGTTTTTCTGTGTCAGTGAATCCAGCATTAAAACTGATTGTGGGGTTTTTTTTCCAAGTTAATTTATAGAAGGCTGGTCAGACTTGAGGGAGAGCTATAGATTGTTCTATACCCTCATRAAAACCTCCTCATTCAGATTCAATATCTAAAGACAAATTTCATWTTTATGACTAGAAATCTAATGGTCCACTCAAGAAAATCAAGGGCCAGGTTCCTACATTGAAGTTCCAAATCTCGGTTCAGCAAAGGCACTCTCAAGTGACCTACACATGACCACCAGCTCTACTCATAAAAGTAGAGAATTAAGCCCAAAATTTAAGATGCATTCTCAAGGCCAACGAACTGGTCTTGAAATAGAAGATTTGTGATAAATAAATACCCTGTATATTTCTCTACTAAAAYAGCAAAGGATTTAGCATTCTTCAGATTGATATTCTCTGGTTTAAAATACAGGTGAGAAGTGTGAATGGAAAAGCTTACCTCCCTGACTTTTTCAATAGCAGTAGTGAAAATATAAATGATTACAAGCCACTCTTGCACACTTGGTCTTGGTTCCATCTTCACCAGCACAGTGTAAGTAAAGAGCATGAGGAATGCCATRTACGACATCTGCAAAATAAACAGTATATAACCTGTATGCACAAAAAGCCTCAAACAATTTTCTGCAAACACAGCAGGTCTTTGGCCTCACTATATGTACTCAAACTACTGCCACATTTTTGAGCCCAAAATCTTTATTCCAGTTCTCCAACATTTTGTTTTGGTTTGTTCATTTTGTTTTGTTTTTACAGGAATGTCCCTAAACATCATCAGAAAAAAAATGATATATTTCCAATTATAAATCATCTTCTATAGATGGATATTGATATTGACCCTTACAGAAACAGCTCTTAAAAAATGAATACGAATATCAGTATACAATTAATTCTTCATAAGGCTGCCTTCAGATCTAACTCAACCTTCGTAACTGACCACAGTAAAAACCTATGCTGRAGTTTTTCTTTAATTCCTTATAATTGTTTTTTTCTGGTTTTTTTGGGTTTGGGTTTTTTTAGTTCAATTGCATGATTTTAGCTGACAATATTTACACTTAATTTTTAGAGAAATATTTAAATATCTTCCTGTCTGCACTCACCACTAAGTGACTGTAAATCCATGCTAGAAAAAGTAAAAGCAGGATTAATTGGCATTTGAAGAACCAAAGGACAAAAGGAAGGGTTTGTCAATCTGAGTTCTAGAAAGATGACTAACCGTGTGAAACCAGAACTTGACAATTGGTGCATTGTAGAATTCATAGATTTTTCTAGTGCCCGGCAGGCTTCCTTGTCCACCATCTACTTGGCTTTCATCAGACTTCTGAACACCCTTTTCCACATCATAGCCCTTCTTTAAAAGAAAAAATAATATTTTAAAAGTACAAAACAATGGTCTATGGTTGCAAAAGTAGTGTTTTAGTGGGGAGACAGACACAAATGTCTAAACTTTGTTCTGAATATATAGACCATTACTGTAGCTTGCTTTTGTCTGGTTACAACCATCTCATTTGCAGTAATTAACACGCCCTGTGTGAAAGATGCTCTAAATGGCACATCTACGCTGTCTGGACATTTTTTTCTGTAGTATTTTAAGCAAGAGCATTTAAGGAAAATCAGTAGCCTGGACTTTTGCAAAAGGCTAATAGATAAAATCAAAAGTTAAGCTTATTGCTAGTTTAGGAAGGGACCAGYCCTACCTGAGGCAGAGAAGAGAAGGGATTACACACATTCTGCTTCCTTCTGCCACTTTGCAGGGATGCTCCTACTGCAAATAATTACAATTGGCCTGTCCTCTGTATCACAGCTGTTACCTAATYCTGTAACAATCATTTTTGAACTATGTTAGACAGGAACTGCAGGAGATGATGGCTTTAAGCATTTTCTGCTCCAAAGAGAGAAAACTCAACTGTGGCAACGACATGCCCACCATGCTGCTGCAAAAGCCCTCAAAGACAGTCTGTCCTCTTTTACTCTGCACAAACTGAGAGTTAACTGAGAAGACCTCAAGCAATCTACAATGCTTTTCTGCTGTAAGGTAAGCAGAGGAAAAAAATGTTGCTTGACAGTTCTCACATGATATGTGATCATAACGCCACCAAAATTTATCCTTTTTGATAGAAATTCTCCATGCTTGCTCTTGTCTAGCTCAGAAAATTTTTGGAAATTTTCAGCTCAAGTAATGAATGGTAGAGAATAAGAAGAGAGGTTTAGCAAAAATCTGGGAGAATTCAGACCTTTAAAAGACAGATATCACCTTACCTATGCCAAAGACTCCCCACCAACAAGCCTAAGGAGTGCTGTTGTGCAATCACATATTCTTGCAGAGCGTTTCAGGGCTTGGTTCAGATGACTGAACCAAAAGCACAGTGCTAYTCTTGTGCTTTAAATTACATTCTTGCTAAGCTCAAGATCTTCAAAAAGAAAGGCAGGTGCTAGACYTCTGGAAGGGCTCTGATGTGATGCAGGGAACAAAACCGCAAGGGAGAGATCAAGAGAGAAGAATGGCCACAGAGAGTAGRAAAGGCTGTGGCTCAGATACAGGACATTGGCTTCTGGCCAGGCAGAATGGGAGGAAGGAATGAGCTGGAAAGGATGAAACCTGGACTGCTTCAGTTCTCTTTGGACAGTTTGCCTGGGCAACCTGAAAATAGTTTTATAGTTCTGATTTTGTGTATGATATGGGATCTTTCTCAGATTATTTGCTATATAAGATTAAATAGCTATTTATCTGTAGTTTAAATAGACTTCATGCTCTAAAAAACCTATGAACTGACAGCCAAGTGTAACCTCAATATATTTGTGTGAGATGGGGAAGGAGTTTCTCATTATGGTCAGGACAGAAGTGACATCCAGGACAGAAGAAGTGACTTGTACCAAGTTCACTTTAGTCTATAGCCAAACTAGGGATTTAACCCATGCTTCTGGAGAACTGGGCTCTAGCCATTCCATACCACCAGATGACCATCTTCTCACTCCTCAGAAATGCGCTGTGATAAACAGACTGACACACAAATGCCTGATCATCAYAGACTAACCAAAGCATCTTTGGAGCTGATTGGGTTCTGTTCCCCATGATACCATAACGGGTGGAAGTCCTGAGATTGAGGCACATGAGACATTTCTGCTTTGCTTTTAAACTCCAGCATCAGGATGTTAGGAGGCAGGAGAATACTCATAATGACCTAAAAGAGAGACACAAGATTAATTAACCAGTGATGGTATAGACCTGAGGCCACAGTCAGCCATTCCCGGTGCCAGCACAAATCCAGTGCAATTCCACTGGCCAAGGAATGAGTAATTGGTGCTGGGAATCTGTATCACAGTCCCTTAGCCTCTGAAGAATTGTGTTGCTCTTGGCTGTTCTGCAGCTTTGAAGAGTGTAGTGGCATCTGGGGATGCTTTCAATACTGCTGCCTGTGTCTGGAAAGCATCCATCCCACCAGCAGCTCTGCCAGGGAACAAGTAATGTGGGGAAGCAAGAGCACGTGAGAAGGAACTGAAAAGTGCTGAGAGAATGTGAAGAGCAACAAAAAAARTTCTTCTCCTAATGTCATCCCACAGATGCTTTTGCAAATAAAGTACTGTTTTCCCTCCCTGCCTTTCATTTCCCAGATGTGAATATTCCAATACATGCTTAAGCACAGCTGTCTGAAGCTGTATTAGCTATGTCCATAACAAAAAGAACTTAGATAAAGCATCTAAAGAGCACCTGAATTCCAAAAAAAGCCTAGACTGAGGGTACCTTAAACCAGGAGTTCTTGCGCATCTTCAGGCGCCCCATCCACATGTCGGTCAGCAGCATCTGMGTGCACGTGTGGGACACGAACGGCCGCAGTCCCACAGACACGGCCAGTTTTAAGCAAGTTGAGTTGCTCCAGTTTTTCAGTTCATAGGTCAGCAACTTCATGGCCATCTGCTCATTTTGTTTGAATGCTTTGTCCAGCACATCTAAGGCAAGCTGCCCAAATTCCCTAAAGCAGAAAGGAATTAACACTCAACACAACAGGGATCTGTTCAAAGTCAGAATTTCTGCTGAAAAGAGGTTGCTGTGCATACTCGGGTAACTGAAGTTCAGCTATCAATCTCAGTAAGCATCTTTCTCCCATTTTTCTCACTGCTTTATCAATATACATAACGAAAAACAATTTGGGGAGTAAACCTAAATATTTAGTCCCAATCACAAGGTTTAGGACCAAACTGTTTTGCAGGTTTTTATTTGTTTTGTTCTTATTCTCACTCTGTGATCAAAATGGACCCTACAAAGTTATTTGTATTTTCTTCAAAAATAGATTCACYGCCACTATGGGAAGCATTGCAGACAGTTGCAAAAGTCTGTCCTTTTGGACTGACTTCAAAACATCTCTGCAGAGAAGGTTCTTCAAGGAAGGTGCATACCCTCATTCAAATTAAGGTTTGGAACTGAATACAAAAGAACCAAGTACCTTTTATTGTACCTGAATCTTTAGCATAAAATGTACAAAGCAGAAAATATATTAGTAAATTAGTAACAGTAAAACCTGYCAGAAAACACTAACTGGAAATCACAAATTCAGGGAAAACTTTCTATTTCCCTTTTCATTCATTCAGGTATTTCACTTTCTTCTTAGTCTTACACAGAGCAGGATATAAACATTCGTTTTGGTTTGCTTTCCATTATTTGTTATAGATTTGAACAGTCCAACACCTATGTGCAATATGGCTTTTTAACRAATTGGACAAGAAGGGAAACTGCTAGGGAAATCTCAGCTTTTCACTTGCCCATTTAGCAGGTAATGAGCTGTACATTACTCATCTGTAATTTCAAATCTCCATCTAAGTAATATGCATATAGCTTTCCTTTAATTCTCCACCACACTAGATGGTTTTCCACACTCTCCACCAGTACATAGATCCATTATATAATATGAATAATGTATATCTGAAAGTATTTTTTTAATACTCCATAATCCATGGTATGACTAACTTTACTAACTCTTAGTGGATTAGGACAGTACCTAACCATTCTCAGCACTGGAGGACATTAACTGAAATAAAGGGAGAATGCATACTCTGAATACTTCTTGAGTTCTTCTGAAGTGTCATCCACCATGTTGCTCTGTTTAGCTTCGTGTGCCATTGCCCTGTAGAGTTTACAGGCCACAACAGCTTTTACCATGGCTTCCTCTCCATGSTGCCAGAAGAACATTGCCATCTTCTGTCTTTTCATTAACACTGCCCAAACAAGGAGGTCATTATAGGGGTAGATGAACCCAGTTGATTCATAATTCTCTGTGCAGTTCATATCCTCTTTTGATTTCTTCTTATACTTTGGGAAAGGACTGGATCTTTCCTATGAATTTGTTTAAAAAAAAAAAAAAAAAAAAAAAAAAAAAGAGAAAGAAAAAGAGAATCCCAGCGGGTGGCTGAGGTTCAGAAAAACTGGATACAAATCTTAATTGCGAATTGCAAACTATTTGATAGCTATAGATATTAAAGTCATAAACCACAGCTACAATCATGTTCAGATTACCAATGCTAAAAATGTGGTAATATTAACTATCAGGAAGAAAAGGAAAAATACTCCTTGCTCTGCTTCCATGCCTGTCATAACTTCCGTTTCCATAGTGTTGGGCAGAATCCACACCCCATGATATCCAGAACCTGCTTTTACTCTCTTTTATATACATGTGTCATGGTGGCAGAAAAACAGTAGACTGACACAGATACTTAAGATACCATAGATACTTAAAGATGATTTTTACTATTGGCCACACTTGTAATGTAAACTTATTATATATTCATATCTGGATGCTTCTTGGTGAAAGGTAGAGAAAAAGAAATCTTACTGAGAGAAGTGAGGAAGTATTAATGCTATAATTTTGGCTTTGACTAATTTCAACACAGACACTTAAATTCAGTCTACTTTATGTTATGTATGTTAGATAGATAGATAGATAGATGATAGATAGATAGATAGATAGATAGATAGATAGATAGATAGATAGATAGATAGATAGATATGCCAATATTTGCTCTTTTGTAATTTTTTTTCTTAAAGAAAATACTCTGTCCCCATTTTACAAATATTCAAAATTTACCTCTCCTTAACAGGCTTACTCTAGCACTTTAATAAGCAATCATGAGAAAGCATTAAGTCAGAGAACTCCAACATTTCTTCTAAATAAAAAGCGTTTTCAGACACGCTTGATAGTCAGAAATTTGGTGATACCACATTTCAGTGAATTAAAGCCCTTAGCAACTAATGGAAGGACATTAAAAAACTATCACAGAAGGAGTCTGAGCTTGATTTCACCATTAAAATGGCAAGACTTGTACTTCATGAGCAGTCAGCAATAAAGCATTGCTTCCACTGCAATTTAGGTAGAACTATGAAAACTAAGAGCCTGASCAGCATATATCTAAAATTTGCCAATAATACCATTGTCAGCCTAGTATGTACTAAGAAAAGTCTAGAATAAGCAATTATATTACCTTGTATTTGTAAGGTTGTGCGGTTCTGAAGAACTGAGAATGCAAAGTACTCTCAGCAGATGTCATTCCACTGTCCARCTGATTACTCTGATGAAAGGAATGAGACAGGCTTTGAGGCAGGCTGGAGACCACTCTCTAGATCCAAAGGTAAACCATAAAACATCAGGAGAGAAATGTAAATTAGCTATAAAATTTGCAGGTGCTTTCTGAGTGTGATAGTGCAGGTAGAAACTGATGTTATTCAAAAACTAGTGAGTCAATAATCACTAGCGCTTATACCATTAAGGAAGAAAATAGTCTGTTTCAAATCTCAGTTAAAAATATGTATATTTTTTTCTTAATCTCTGAATTTAATGTACTGGGTTTCCAAATAGCATCCATGAGTTGCCACAACAGGGCTGCAACAAAGGGAATCTTTTCTGAGTGCTGACCTTTACAAAATGTGCCATAAGCTGTTTGAAAGACAGAAGTCTCTGAACTTTTTGCTGATCATTTCCTCTGAAGGATTGCACATCTAGCATCTCAGTAAATTTTGTTCAGTTTTTGCTAAGAGGGAAGAATGTTAACAGCTGAATCATTAATGTTCTTCCCAAACAATTCCTAGGTCACCTATCCCTCTTAAGGTCATATTTCATTAGGAAACAATGAAAAGTGTTGCAACTGCTCAAATATCTTATTTCAAGCATTGTGCTAAAAACRGATGGTACAACAGATAGCTCTGTCTCTCTGCTTCTATTCACTCCAAGTAACAGGTTTCATTATTTCTTCTCCTTTCCCCTGATCATTATGAGGATCTTGTCTTAGTTATGAAAGTTCAGGAGGATGAGAGGGCTTTGTTGGTTGTTTTTTAACATATGGATGTAGTTCAAAACCCAGTTCTACTCCAAAAACTGGGGATCATTCTTAGGCAGTAAATCTGCTCCTTCTGTGATGTTGTTTTTCAGCTAATTTAGGCTGCTTTTAAGTTACTGATTTTGGAAAACTAACAGGGAGAATGCTGGCATGTCCTAGGTCTAATTCAAGGCATGTGGAATCCAGTCTTTCCGTGATGTGATTTAAGGTGCTAGAATGGAAACATGTCACTGTTTCAAAACAGGGGAAGTGATGGTTGGCACAATCTTGGCATTCCTTACTGATGGATGACAGACAAAACACAACCCTGACACTGGACACAAGGGTAAATTACTGAACTAACAGATAGTTTAACAATCTCCAGTGGGGGTTTGTCTCTTTTATTTGCAATCTCTTCACAGTTCTCAAACAGACAAGCATGGCACACATTTAAATKATGTTCTTCAGACAAATCACAGTGACAACCTGAGCTGTTCTCAGGTGTCACAGTTTGGCTTTTCTTGGTGAACAATGATAGCAATTGAAAATAAGCTACCTTGTGTTTTCTGTAGAGATCATTGTAGAGAATTCGGAAATGCTTCCTTGTGTAGCTGCTCCGATAAGCTTCACCAAGGAGATACTCTATCACTAGTCCAATGTCAATCAGTGATATCTTGTAATCCAAAGAAAGGCTATTCTGAAACACCAAATGTCACAAACATTTCATGATGCTGCTACATGCAACATGAACCATGTCGTAGCCCTTCTATTGTAAGAGAAAATCTGGAAAAATGTGCAACTGAGAGCTCCTGCATCTGTCAGGGATTTGTACACGTTCATTAGACATATGGAACTGCCCTTGGAAATAGGGGAACAAGTGATCTCTTTAAGTTTAGCTTACACAACAGCATAGAAAGTTTGAAATTGTGCAGACACTTTTTACACTAATTCCATTACTGATCATCAAATGCCAAAAGCTTCTTTTTAGATCACACACTAGGTTTGCCAAAAATGTCCTGAGATATACACAGACATAAATGTATATATGGAGATTTCAGCAAGGGGTCATATCAATCACTTCAGAGAGATAGAGAGATTTCTCAGCCTGGAAAAGCTTGGTGTGCTTTCAAGTTCTAGACCTTTCAACACACAGATCTTCCACCTCTATGAATATATTCATCAGTATGGAAAATCACAGAAAATAGTTTGCTATGAAGATTAGGATACCCTACATCTATCTAAAGAACCATAAATGGGATTGGCATGAAAGTCGCCCACAATAACAAATTAATTTCACAAATCCAACAGAACTCTGCAAAGAGTCCGACKTATGATTTCTTTTCATCTTAGCAATCACACCCTGGAAAGAATTAGCCAATTAGTCTACATTTGGCTCTAGGAATCTCCTGCACTAATGTTTAGATGCATAAAAAACAGCTCATCCCTTCCCGGATAAGCAGTGCTATGAGGTACAATAGATAACAGAACTGTGAAATAAATTAATGATGTGTCTGAATAACAAGGCTGCTACTAAATTACTAATGGAACCAGTGCTCCRTGCACTTGTCATCCACTGCCACCTTCTGTTCTCCTAGGCAATGCAGCACATTAAAATATTATCTCGTCACAATATCTTTTTGTTACTGCTCTAACAAGGAAAGGTTTTTTAACTTTGAAGAAAAAATAGAAAACCTTAAAGCAATGAGCATAATTACTGTAATAATTCACTGAGTCTTTTGTACAATCACTTCAAARTGTCAATTTAGTAATGTGAGAAAGAGAATGTGATCTGCATTAACTGTTCGACTTTGAAATTAAGGTACAGGACTCTTGGGAGCTCAGTAGCAGTGTGCTGGTTAATTGCTTAGGGGGTCAGTGGAATTAAGACAAAACCATTTAGCAGAGACAAGACTGCAGTAACGAAGCCATCACTTCTATTAATTCCCTGTACTGTCTAATAGCATCTTGCCAGTGGACACTGGAGTTCCAATCCACCATTTTTGTCCCCAGCCTTTCCTATGTCTATTACCTGTTTCACRTCTCGAACTAGATGGTGCAAAAGCAGATTTGATGGTCCTTGTTTCTGTGGTGTGAATAGAAAAGACAGTAAACAAACTGTCACTCTACACTGGAAAATCAATACAGTAGAAGAAAACAGCTAAAAAACTACAGAATAAATTGAGACAAGCTCTCCCCATTCAAAGTCTACCCACAAATCTTTTCAGAAATATTTCAGCATCAATCTCCAATACTGCTACTGTCTTAAATCTTRACATATTCTAGAAAGAAGCTGGTATAGCTCTGGTCTAAACAACATATAATTTTCAGCAAGGTAAGCATATTATACCACATTAAAATCTGAACACATTTCTCGTGAGCTTCTCATGAGCTTCTCATGAGCTACTCAGTCTGGTTTATGACAGTGAATCTAAAATAAGAAGCTGGTGCACCATTCCCAAACCCCCACATAACAACCAAAACTTAAAAAAACCCATTACTTTTCCTATTTTTTTCAAAAATCCTTTATAAAAAATGTGGCCTAATTAACAGATCTCTTAATTAAAACAGTACTGCTTCCAGGCTTTCATGTCTAAAGTTGTACACTGGGATTTCAAATACTCACTGTATTGTAGAGCTCTTCCAAACGAGCTATGGTAAGAAAACGRTGCATGTTCACCCCGTGTTCTATCAGCAGTTTCACAAAATCCACACGATCCATCACTAAAGCATCCAGCATTGCCTGTTCCAAGGCACCAACCTCCAGATTGACAGAGTTGAAGGAAAATTTTAGAAAATTACTTTTGGAAATAAATAAAACACTCTTGGAGCTAGCAATCTCTCCACAACAAGGATTTGTCTCTATATATATTTTAAGCGCAAGTACAAAAACATATGTTGGAGGAAACATCTGTGTAAAAAGTCAACAGAGGGGAAGTAAAAGAGAGTTTCCATTAACGTGACATATACAGAGATTTCTACAAATGAAACTTTACAAMTAGCCTCTGATAATACATTTTCCATTCTCTAATTCACTTCAGAAGCTAACACATGATAATGCAGGGGACAGAGGGAAGCCTTTTTTTTTTTTTTACATATGACAAAAGCTATTTCAAAGTTTTGTAGAGACATTTCTATAGAACTGCAAGTTCTTTAAAGCAAACTTTTTTTCAAACATGAGAGAGAATATGTTTTAAAATAAACTCTCTCAAAGGAAGCATGAAGCARAGGTCTACCTACAAGAAGTGTCCAAATAGTGGCAACAGTCTACTCATGGCATTTGAACAGAGCTCAGCAGGGCTTATAAATGCAAAATGGCAAAGGAGTTAGACAGATGAAATTCATATAAATCCATATAAAGTTTTTCCAGAGAACATGGGTGCACAGGAAATGCAGTGAGGTGAGCAGAATGAGGAGGCCAGCACACTAACGAGGCAGGAGCCACTGCTAACTTGAAAATAGTAGAGTCTGTGTACATACTGAGRTTTGAAAGAAATTATGTCAAAAGATGACCAATAAATGTCACAGAATTCTTACGCGTAAAAAGAAAACTCATCTGATCCTGATCAGATCCTGAATTATTCGATTTTCTCCCAGAAATATCTGAGAGCAACCATATTAAGTTTCCTCTAACTGTCCTTGAGCTGCCAGTGTGTCTGAAGAGGTGAGCAGCCCTTTGGTAACTTGTAGAAGGGCATACTTTGGTATGAAGTCTGTTTGACATAGAGTTGACATTTAAGCAGACAGACAGTCGCAGCCCTGAACCATACTTTCAGTTACCTTCTGAACCATAAGACTAGAGTCCTAAGAAGAAACGGTTACAATGTGTGCACAGTTGTGCAYGTTCCCTTGAAACACTTAAATAGACAGAAATATTATAAGACTCCACAGAGAATCATCTAAAAACTGCTCCTTAAATATGTAACTCAAAATTTGAGCACACAGCCACAATTACACTGCAGAAGCTGTAGCCTCTGACAATTGCAGATCTGGCAGTCAGAGGKTTGCTTCACTTTAATTAAAAAAGCAACTAAGTTAAAGCAAACTTTAAAACATTTTATTTTCTTTTCAGTTCAAGAAAAAAATAGTTGGGGTTTTTTTTTTCCCTTCTTAGAAAAGAAAAACATTCAGGATGTATGTATGTATGTATGTATGACATTCAGTATGTCGTTCTAGTTTTTACTTGTAGAAGCAGCAAGAGATGGGAGGTTGTTCATTATGATACCTTTAAACCTTGCGTGAGTGGGAGAACATTATCATTATTTGGCAAAGGCTTTTCATTCAAAATAGTACTGAACAATTATACTGAAAGAGATGTGAATAGATACACCAATTTTTCAAACATATTGGAAGAAGAGGAGTGGGAGTAGGGGGACTGCCAGTGGATCTTTAAGGCCAGAGGATGACTAAGCTATAAAAGAAACACCCAAGACTGTTGCAGACATGGCAARTTAATTTGTTGCCTTACTGCTCACTACAGAAACAAAGTCCTGCATCAAAGTTGTTCTTTATGGCAGAAAAATCTGAGGAAATGTCAAATTGAAGTGCTAGAAGAGAAGATTGTGGAAGYCACCCATAAAGTGGTAGGGATAAATTGTCAGGACCCTTCAGCATTCAGCTGAGAGTTCCCAGAGATCTGAAGTACAGCTGAAATCAGCCCCTTTAACAGCAGCATGGAAGACAGTAGACGTAAAATATGCCAATTTAAAAAAAAATACAACCAAGTTGTCAAAATATGGCATATTAATAGACTTAAAACTCTGTAAGGACAAATAGAACAGTAGTACAATAATAACAACATGAAAAAAATACAGTAGAATAAGCAGAATAAAGGTTGTTATTTTGTAGACTGAAATCAGAACTATACCARAACTTCAGCAATCAGAAAAGAGTTCTAGTGGACCTATATTCTGCAGGCATGAATATAAGCTGGGTATAATTCAAAAACATACAAAAAAGGCATACAGCTTATTAGGGTTTATCCTGAGGTTATATAGAACAATCTGTAAAATARTATATTTCACAAAATATCTAAATGAGAATATTGAGTGCTGGTCTACTTATTCCAAAAGATGACTTTTACACCTGAAAATTCAAGTACACAGAAGAGCAGAAAATATTGTCAAAAATATGGGAAAACTGAATAGATAATCACCTTGGAAAAGCCAGGAGTAAAGACACTGAATTGAGCAATAGTTCTCTAAACCCTTCTGTGTCAAAGAGGTGGACATCAGGAGAATGCTATTCATTATTTCCCACACACACAGAATAATATAATCACTTTGGAAAAGATCTTTACCTCATCAAGCCAATYAGCAAACCTAGCACTAAYAAGTCCRCCACTAAACCCTGTCCCTAAGTGCCACATCCACATGTCTATTRAAGAGTTCCATGGATGATTCAATCATACCCCTGAGCAGCCTGTTCCAACAGTTGATAACGGTCTTCATGAATAAATTTTTCCTGATATCTGATCTTTAATTAATGGATGTTTAATTGTAGACAACCCAGGCATAGTGCTCCACATACACAGCCTTATGCACCAAAATATGGAAAATATGAGCTGGTGGTCAAAAAATTCATGTATATYCTTGTGGCAAACAACTGGCTGTCTAGAGTTAGAAAAGTAGATTCAACACCCCGTTGCAGTTTATATCTTTGAAGAAAAGAGTATTCTAGGCTACAATAAATCACTAACTGCCAATGGTTCTCAACACAGGCTTGAAGRACACATAGGCAGAAGTACCACTGAAACTGCTTGGGAAATCTGACAGCAAAAACAACGTGCAATTTTAGGTACAATCTTTTTTCCTGGAAAAACAAATGTGATCTGATGCACTGTATAAGTGAATATTCATAATTTCAAGGATAATGCCTCTCTAAAATCAAAGCAGATTACAGAAGACTGTGTCCAGTATTCAAACTACTCCTTAATTAAAGCTTGACAAATGAGTTATCAAAATAAAGTGTAAAGACACGGTGATAAATAACAGATAATAGTACCTTCCAGTGTTGTCCATAAACGAGTATGTGTTTCTTGGCAATATCTAGCTGATTCCAGGCCAATGCCAAATCAAGCTGATCTGAAGCAGACATATGTGTGCCTGGGAAACAGATAACGGAGCTATCAGTTTCCACACACTGATGTTACTCCCTTACTTTGAAAAGCCAAGTTAGTGTCTGTGTGTCAGACAAAAACAGGTCGCATTTTTCAGTACCTTTCAAGAGTGCCGTGAGAATTGCCAAATCAATGTCCTGCTCATCTTCTGACTCGGCATCAAACACGGTTATCTGTTAGGATTGCAGAAGTATACTATTTGAGGTGAGGCAGAGAAGTCTGCAGTTATTTCTTCATGGTATGGGCTGTGGTAGATTAAATCATATACATTTCAACACAAACAGTGGCAAGGGTCAGACATAACTTTCCTTTGTTTCAGACAGAAAGTGCACCATTTTTAATGCAATGGCATCCCAGGTAAACTGGAATAAACCTACTGCAATAGTCTACATCAATCTGTTTCCTTTTGATTAATCTTTAAAGCTGAGAAACATAAAAATGAAACATGGTTGATATTTACTCAGTTTTTAACTAGAAAAAATAGAAAATACTAAAAAATGTATCAGGTAGTTTCCATTTTAGTGGTCMTGGGTACACTTATCTGTAGATGCATGTATACTCCATCATATTTGAAAAGTTCTGACAGACTGGCAAAGTAACTGGAAAAGTGGAACTGCTCCTTTTAAAAACATAAAGAAAGGCTTGGGAAACTACTGGACAATCATGTTCAGCACAATCATGGAGAAGATTCTCCTGAAAACTAAGGCATATGGAAAATAAGAAGGTGATTGGTGACAGCTAATGTGGTTTACTCAAGTGCAAATCATACCTGATAAATCTGGTGACCTTCTATGGCTGTGTTAAAGCACTGGAGCATAAGGATAGAGCAACTGATGTAGTCTACCTGCACTTGGGTAAAGCATTTGATACACATCCTTGTCTCTAAATTGGACCAAAATGGATGTGATTGATTATATCACTCTGTAGATAAGGAATTGGTGTCAAGTGTAGAGCAGTGACAAGTGGTGTTCCAATAATGGGACCAGTGTCACTGAAAGTGCGTGTTGGGGACACAGATATTGGGATTGAAAGCACAAGCAGCAGTTTTGCAGATGGCACAAAGCTGAGTGATKTTGATACTCTAGAGGGAAGAGACACCATGCAGAGGGACCTCAACAGGTTTGAAATGTTGGCCTGTGCAGACCTCATGATGTTCAACAAGACTAAATGCAAAGATCTGTACCTTGGTCAGGGCATTCCCAACAATTAATAAAGGCTGGGYAGAGAAAGGATTGAGAACAGCCCCAGGGAGAAGTATTTGGGGGTGTTAGTGAAAGAAAAGCTCAACATGAACTGGCAATGTGCACTGGCAGCTTGGACAGCCAATCCTATTTTGGCTTGTATCAAAAGCAGCATGGACAGCAGGAGGAGGGARGGGATTCATGGTCACTAGTGGTGTATCAGAGACAAGTTCTAGCAAAATTCTCTTGTAAGCAGAAGAATGGAAGRAAACCTGTCTGAATTACAAATGAGACTCTACTAGAAAAGAAAAAATTTGGAATTACTTGATCTTTTTTGTGAAAAGTAAGATATTTGGTCATTTATTAAAATTAGAAGGCTCTCATTTCATAAACATTGAAATTTGAGATGTGTCGAGCTCTTCGATATAGAAGCTGGCACAGACACTCTGTGTTATCTTTATGTGAGATTTAACTCCTGTGCACTSAGCAATCCACCAGAGACAGAGCRAAAAGGGTGACAGGAAATTAAGATTTCCTAAGCTCAGCACGTGAACCCTACTCACAGACTCTCTGTGTTTCATGCATTCCATCAAAACATGAAAGAGATGACTGGACTGTTTCTGTTCCAAACTAAACGTGTTTTGAATCATCAGTAAGATCTCTTCCTTCACCTGAGGGCACAGATCCCTGTAAAACAGATATACAATCACTGGCAATTACTCTTGAGATACTGCTTACCCACCGAAACGACGTTTCAGAAAAGATGAAACATAGGAGAGATCTCTGTTTTTCCTACTTTTCTATTGACTTAATCCTTCTTTCAACACAAAGTCATCCCATAACATATTAATATTAAAATKTTAATAACATATGCATTGATTTGACATACATATTAACTACTGGAAATACAACATATGGGTAAGTTAACAATTTTCAAAGGATTTTCTGTGAACATAGAGTTAAAATCACTGGAAGTGKTTTTTCTTTTTCCCACTAATCATATAAGAATAAAATTAAATTCCTCACTATTTGTTCATTAGGCTTCATATCTCTCCCATTTTTTTCTCTTAYTTATTGTTCCACTAACCTTTCCATTCATATTTTCCTTTCTTTTGAAATGGAAAGATTTTTTTTTTTAATTGTATAAATATGGGGGGAAAAGTAAGTGAAGACAAAAAGTTCTCAAACAATGCACTAGGGGMAAATACCAACTATCCAAAAGCACATTCAGAAAAGACAGTATGTAAAGAATTAGGATATGAAATGTAYTAAATTGTTCACTTTCTTAAATAGGAATGAACCCAAGGCACCTCTTTAAAAATTTCTATTTTTAATCTAAAGAACGCTTTGACTTTGAAAAACTTTCACATATAACACTAATTGGCTATACAAATACATATTTTTATTTCCAATTTGGACACAAAATTTTCACCAGGGTARGTTCAATGAACCTGCAGCTGAGACTGCACCCTATGGAGGTGACATAGAGTTAAAGCTAGACAAGAATGACAAATGTGGGCTACCACTAAGTAAACCAAAGCCAAAAATGAGGAAACTTAGTCCTCCTACTGCAGCCTGAGGCTCTTAAAGCAATGAAACCCCAGCTCTAGTCTCAAAAGTTTTGTACAGCCCAAATCCAAGCCCATACACAGAACATTGACAGCAGGAGATATGACTGAGTTGGAATAATAGCAAATGCTCTGTGGGTCATCCAAGAGTGTCTCTCACCAAGGGTGAGAAATTTCATAACTCAAAGCAGCTCTATGCAATTTTTTCTCTTGGMAAAAAGCCACAGTAAATTTGGCAGAATGATTATTTCAGCACTAATTTGAGGCAGGGATGAAAGGAACTCTGCTCTCCCACCACAGAAGTAAAAACCAGCAAAACACCACAGCGGCATCATTACTAGAAGCTTCAGGAATTATCTCAGCAGTTCTGGACAGGTGTTCCCAGGTCCCTGCCAGCACGACAGACCAAGGAGGAGGAGCATTCCACACTACTCACCCCGTGTCTCCCGTGTGTTTGTGGGTGAAGGCCAGGAGATCAGCAGCTCTGCCCGTGCCCTCGTAGACCACCACGGGGACGGCCGGGCTGGCCCTCACATACTCCCACACCATCAGGATCACGCTGGGGCCGCCTTCCACCACCAACCCAACTACGGGAACACCTTGGCCCATTCCTGCTCCAAAACACACCCAATCAGATCTCTGTCACACACAGAAACATCAAAACATCTGGAAATAAATGCTTATACAAGGTTCAATGGAAGGAAATCATGCCTTCACCAACTCTAATTTAACTTACACCTTTTAAGACTTTCACGGAACTTCTGAAACCAGATCAAAAAGACCAAGAAAAACTACTGAAAACCTCTATGCATTGGGAATAAGAAACATTTTTCTGAATAATCCTCTTCCTTGTCACATACAAGGGCATTTGAAATGTGTTCAATATCCATTTACCCACACACATAGAAAAGTCATCAGATATTTCCTCAGAGACTCTTTCAAGTGTTACATCATCAGGGTGGGCTTCTCAAAAAACAGAAATGAATCTCAAGTACAAAGTACATTGCAATAGAAAATAAAATATCATAGGAAACCTGACTTGCAAAAGTTTGTACCAAGAAAATATGAGAGTCTGAGTATGAAGCTCTCGATATGAACATATGAAAAATTGGGTTACTTTCTAAGTTCRTCAATTCTATGATGTGAGTAGGTAAAGAAAGTTACATCACAATGTTCATGCCTTTTAAACCTCAAAGTTTAAAAGGCATGAACAAAACAAAACAAGGTTTTTCTCCTATATTCAAGATTTGAATGACTATGTAAGAGTGAATTTCACAAATAATTTGTACAATCTCGTGCATAAAAGGAAATAATTCTCTATTTCATAAATATTCATTTAATAATTTATTTACCATATCTCAGTTACTACATAAATAAATAGTAGAAATTATGCAATCAGTCAAAACATGGCTAAAGGTATTACTTTTGCAACCAGTCTTTGTTGTTGTTCCTGAGTTGGTCACAGGTTTGCAATACAGAAGAGTGATGCAGGCAAAAGTGGTCAATGGGGTAAAAAAGGGTTTGAATTCCATGGAATTCCATAGAATGTAACAGTCTTTCCACCTCACAAAATGCTGGGAAAGTATCTAGGGGTGAAATGGAGACCATAAAAAACAGTGAAGTGAGCAAATGCTCAACACTTACTAAATAATCTGTGTCTTTTAGATGTTTCTACCATTGAGAAACCAATATGTGAGTTCATCTAAATGCTTTATAAAAATGCTGTCCTTGTCCTGATTTTCAGAGTTCAAGACACAYGCAATTAATAACATTCGACCTCAGTGAAATCTATTGCAAATCAAGACATAGATATTAACATGAAATATCATGTACCTCCCCAACTTTTAGGGTAGGTTTTTGGGCAATAAAGCTGGCCACAGCAGCTTTATTACTTACTTACACTTACTTGTGTGTATTTTTTGAAGTGAAATGTACTTCTCCAAATTCCTCCTGAGCACCATTTCATTCCCATACTTGCCTACCGTCCCATCATCTGCCATTAGAAAATGAGAATGCATGCTGTTGAGCGTACTCAGCTTGCTGAGTGGGTTACCAAGAGTCTGGTACAGGCAAACTACCTGAGAAAACCAAAATAAAAAGGTCCTCAAAGAAATCCACAAAACCAACAAAACCACCRTTTATGTTCCCTCACTTGTATTTCCTCATCACATCATGGCTGTCTGAAATCCTCTATCACACCTTTTGCTCTAGTCAATCATTTGATCCTTAACATTTGATTTTTAACAGCAAGAAACCCACAATTAATACCTCAGACAACATTTCTGATTAGGTTTGCAATCCTTAGAGTTACTGCCTGGCATTCTTTGCAACAGATGAAACATCATGGCATAGTTTCCTTGGGCTGTTATTCGCTTAAAAATATGTGACATAACATTCATCAGGAACGATTTCACCTTACTTCTTAAGTGKTTTTAGACAAGTAGATTGTGCCCTCACAAAAAAAAAAGTTCTAGTTCGTAAATATAAGATAAGTTGTGAATAAAACAATACACATATTAATAGCCCATTTGTGTACACCCCTAACCTGACTGTTCTTTCTGAATCTTTATATAGAAATACATAATTTACAACCATGAGAGGGTTGCCTAAATAAATACAAAATTTAAAAAAGGAATAGTAATTTCCTCTAAGAGAAGAAGTATTTTAAAGCTATTCATTTATATACAAAAAGCAGAAGAGTACCAAAAACATGCCACAAAATTCTATTGCTGAGTAAAATGTAAGCCTCTATTTTAGAGAAAAAATATYGAACCAGTGAAATGAATCAAGAAGAAAATCAAGTGGCAAGAAAGCTCTAACATCCCATGAAAAAGCTTTTATTATTAAAATGCATCCAACTCACATCTTTTCCAATGAGATCCCTCTGGTTCTCRATGATACCCCATGGAGGAATCCCGATAGCGCAGATCTTTCTCAGGTGTGGTGAGGCACGGCCTTTCAGTGCATCCCCAACATGTCTGGACACTCCTAAACAGAAAACCAAATGATAACTTTTCTCCTATATTCACAGGACACCAATAAAGGTTTCCTATCACTTAATTTATACTATGGTTATATTTTAATCAAAGCAAAAACATCCCATCCACATTGTGTACATTGTATATTTGATGTACACTGCAGAGCTCAGACTCAATGTACCACTGCTTCAAACTCAGCATATTTTTCTAACTAATAACACTCTTACATGGTGCTAATGGTGCTTTCTGCATCCATAAAACTACATTAGTTACATAAATGAACAAGARAGTTCTCCTGTAAAATCATTAGATTGAATAACAGTTAAAGAACTAAAGCTTTGGGTTCCACAGCTTACTGACCCCTCTGAACTTTGGGGAATAGCCTAAAGGGATTTTCAGATACTAATAGGSTAATTAATGGATTATCCTAACTCAAAACTTTCTCAATTATAAAACACCAGTTAAATATAGCTTTGAAAACTCTTTTTAAAAGACCAGTCATAGTTTTTCAAACTTAAATATTTTAATGAATTTGTATAATTGACTGCAAGTAAGTTCTGGCTATAAACAGTGTTTCTTATTACAAGCAGAATACTCTGCTCTTTAATTTAAAAAAAAAATATTCAGAATGCCTGCCAATGGTAAAGGAACATGATTTCACTTTTTGAATTAGTATTGTTCATTGAATGAAAACAGGTTCATTTTGTATTAACAAATCACCAGTTTTCAAACTATTTCATTATATTTTACCTAAATGTGTACACTTTTATGCAGGGAAAGAAAACCAAAAGGAAAAACTGAAATAAATTAAGAATAATTACTCTACCGCTGTTGATGCCTTCTGTAATTATCCATGCTCCTGTAGACTCAGCTGCCTTCACCAGACCTTTGCTGAAAACCTGCTTCACCTTTGAGGGAAGCTTGAAATTTTGAATGCCTCCATGAACAGAGATCACCAGCTTTGGCAGCTCAATCTGCCATTCTTTCACCATCAGGTGCAACAGCTGATCCAAATTGCTATCGTAAGAAAGTCTAATATACTGTAAAGAATAATAATGGGGAAAATAAACACCTTTTAAATGCTTCAAGAGAAGAAACTGCAACACATTGCAAAGTTCTAAGCATTAAGGTACCGCAGACATTGTGAAGGATTAGAACTGTCATAGCACCCTAGCACAATCRCACAAAAATGCATCTGTGAGCAATAAAGTCAGCGTAGCCTTAATCATGGTGATGTTCAGTGTAGAAATATACACACATTTTAACCTRACTTACTTTTAGGTTCCACTTCCCTCTTAAGACAATCAATGCTATATTCACCCAAACCCTTTTTGCCTTTCTTACGCTGAAATTCTAAAAGTCACGTGTATAAACACAGCTCYTATTACCTTGGCATGGTAAGTGTGGTCTCCATCCTGAAAATTGATTGTACCAAATGCATCTGTTGGACTCATCTTGGTGTGTTTTTGCACAGACCATTCTCCACCATCGCTCTGTGAGCCAGCCTGATAAACAGGCCAGCTACGTTCCACCCCTGGGTGTTCTCTGATGAGCCGTCCACAGCAGCACCTCACATTAAAAATACAGAAGTTATTTTATATCAAACTCACTTGCATACAGCTTTAGGATCTACACATGGATAGCCTAAATAACTTCTCTACAAAGAAGAATATTGCTGTTTTTCTCATGTGGAATGCAGCAAAAATTGACTGTGTTGAAGCATCTGCAACAGTCTTCAAAGGTCCTTCCAATCCAAACATGCTGGGATTATGTATGATTCTGTCMCAGTTTGAGAGTCCACACTGAAATTCTAACCTGAGCAAGGCTGCTTGGCTTTACTGATCTTTTATGTTCCAATTTAGTGGAAGGCTGTAGGACATCGAGGCTTGCTATGAGTGTTTCCACAGGTTATTCTAAGTACGAAAGAAAGATCTAGGAGCTATACTCAAAAAYCAGGAGGAGAATTTCAGGGTGACCTTCATACTAATTCTTGGAACCTAGCAAAGTGATAGTGAATACATGGACTGAAGTGCAATGTTGAAGGAGATTGTCATGGTTTAGGTATGGTACTTGCCAGTTTAGTGTTCCCACTGAGACTCTCCAAACCTCATGTTGCTCACCTGCTCACCCGTTTCCCTTCCCTTCCCCCTGCAGCCCACTGGAGAGGAGAATAGGTGGCACAGAAGGTAAAGATCAAAGACTGAGRTAGGATAATTTATGGAAAACAGCAACAAGATAAGAGAACAAACAGCAACAGCAACAATACTAATAACAGAGGGCACAATAAATGAAATTTCACACAGAAATCCCCCAACAATATTCAATACCCAACCATTCCCTCAGTCATGCTATACTAATCAAGAAGGAACCCATTCAGCATATTCTTGGGCATAGTCCTCTGCAGAGCCAGATGTTGGACTTGATGTTCAACATGGATGCCTTCCAATATCCAACAYGGTCTCTGATTCTGTGAGTCTCCCTGGAGGAGATTCCCTTCCCCTCACTCCCAGCAATGACGTGAGCTGGTACAGAATAACCTCCAAGTCTAGCCATGTCCCTTACTGGCTATTGCAAAAATTAACCCTGTCCTGGCTGGAAGGATATTTTTCACCCTTTATCTTATACCATCTACCTCATGCCCAAATTATGTACCTTCCAAATTATATACATATATCCTTATACATCTATATCCACACACATAAGTATAGGTATCATAGTCAATGGCCAAGATATCTGTTGAATTCATTTAGTCCATGACTGTGAGTTCYATCCATTCTAGATGTCTCTCAGGGGACTAAGGCTGATGTGCTGTCAGCTGATTGCTGCATCAGGAGATCMATGACTGGTGTTATCTGGAGCAGTCCATACTGACTGTTCATGGCACTTATGGCACACAATGGCAGGGTCATTCAGAAACCAACATTACATGCACTGTTCTCACTCAAAAATCAAACCCTCTTGAGGTACACATTACGTTTTGTAGACCCTCTGCATTATCCATCAAGTACACCGAAGTCATTGAGAAARAAAACAATCCAAAAGTTTGCCTTTGCTTGAGACAGGACTAATCCTGTCTGACTTCCCTAACAYGGCTCATATGCACCACAGGGATTTTATCCCTTTCACCCCTCCCACAGTACATGAAGGTTTTGATTGGGCAGGGCCAGCTCGATTGGTAGAGCCTCTGGTGTTAATTAACCAGGCTTCCTAAATGGAATGTATTTAGGTCTTCCTAAATGCAGATCCCAGTGTCTGAAGGTCCAGCCRCTTGTTGCTTTCAGTGTGGTTTTCAATGGTCCACTGTCCCCATGAATTTTCCCAGAGGCTGGTGCACGGCACAGAATATGATACCCACTCAATACTGCGCTCTCTGGCCCAGGAGTCCATGTAATCAACCAGTCAGACCTCTACATATTTATATTCTGACCATTGTCCCCATACTACTGAGACTTTATCCACTTGGCCTGCTTGGTTGCAGTACATGTTTCACAGTTAAGGATAATCTGTCAAGTAGTGTCCATGGCTAAGTCCACCCCTTGATCACAAGCACATCTGTAATGTTGCATCTTTTCCCCAATGACCTGAGGTGTCATGGGCCCACCAAGCCAGAAATAATTCGCTCTTGTGGTGCCAGTCCAGATACTGGACAGAGGATCCTGTTGCTTGAGGCATTTAAAATCTTGGCAGCCCAACCCACCTGTCTGTTCTTGAGATGCTCTTCAGTAGCCCAACTCCTGGGTACATGTGCATCTACATGATATTCTTCAACAGCCTTCTTCTCTGCATAGGCAGTGATCTCTTTCTACCACTCAGCAGCCCATATGGGTTTACATCTGTGCTGCCAGTTCTCTTTTTCCATTGGCTCAGCCATCCCACAGCATTTGCTGCCATCCACAGCTCAGTGTATAGGTAGAGCAATGGACATTGCTCTCGTTCASYGATATCTAAAGCCAGCTGGATGGCTTTCAGCTMTGCAACCTGACTTGATCTGCTTTGCCCCTCCACAGCTTCTGCAATTTGCCACATTGGACTCCATACAGCAGCTTTCCATTTTTGAWGTGTCCCTCCAATACAGCAGGAACTGTCAGCGAAGAGAATATATTGCTTTTCATTTTCTGGTGTTCATTGTATGGTAAGATGTGCTATGTCCTCTTTATCCTTTACTGACAAAAATCTGAAATTTTTGTCTTCAGGCCAATTCCTCATTCTTGGGCAATTGTGGTTTCCTGTTCAAGCTTGTTATGTCATCAGCACATTCCACTTTCTCCACAAAGCATAAGTGCATGATGTGTGGCAGGAACTTTTGCTTTGAACATCCAGCCCAGCCCTGTCAGTTGGGGTGCCAGGAGGAGCTGTGCTTTGGTGCCCATCACTTCAGCTTGAATGCCTTCATAAGCTGCCAGGATCTCTTTTTGTCTTGGGGTGCCCCAGTCCTAATTTTGTCCAGGACAAGGTTAATTTTTTGCAGTAGCTGAAATAGGGYATTGTTGGGGTCCAGGTGTTATTCTACACCATCTCACATCACTGCTGGAGACAGGGTGTAATGGGATCTCTCCATCTTCTGGGGAGAAGGGATTACTTCTGGTCAAATAAGTGGAGTGAGGGGAGGTGATTTTAAGCCAGATACAGAGCTTTAGGTGGTGCTGGCCCCCAGAAGGATGGAACAGAAAGATTGGCCCTGCTTGGGTCATGAGCTCCACAGTGAGCATTTTTGCACGTGAATCGTGCAAAAAAAGCTCATTCTTCTTTTTCTTTTCTTCTTGGGGGGGGGGGGGGGGGAAACTTTTTAATAAATATTTTTTTTTTTTTTTTTTTTTTTTGGGGGGGGGGGGGGGGGGGTACACTTCTAAAATTAATATTGTTGCTGTTACTGTTTGCTTTTTTCTTATCACATGGCTGTTTCCAGTTAATTGTACTTATCTCTGTGATAAGTAGATCAAACTGTGATCTTTGTCTTTTGTGTCTCCAATTCTCAGCTTCACCCTGCTGCAGTGGAAAGGGGAAGGGGAACATGGAGTGGGAAAGAGAAGTGTGGTTTTGGAGAATCTTGGTGGGGGCACTGATTTGGGGAGTACCATTCCTAAACCAGGACCACCCCTGACTCCAGAACCTCGGTAGTCATCCTTCAGCCCTCCCAGGTAACTTTTACCGGAGACTTCAGAAAGAACCACTCTCCCCATCTGCAATGTAGAATGCATTTTTCACATCTTGTCCTGCCATGACTGGACCAAGAGCTACTGCACAATCCTGTTTGATTTRTTCAAAAGCTTGAACAGCTGTTCAGGACCCTACTCATAACCATTCTTCTTCCAGGTGATTTAATAGAGAGGGCTTTCAGTCTGACTGTGATCCTGAATATGAATCCTTCAAAAACCCACAGCGCCTAGGAAAGTCTGCTTCCTTCTTGTTGGTTGGTGGGACCACAGCTGCTGCTGTGTGCACCATGCCTACTGGAAACATTCATCCTTCCATTTAACTCAGAAAAGCTGAATTTCCTGGGCAGATCCCTTGACCTTACTTTGTTTTATGGCAAAAGCAGACTTCAGGAGGACTTCTTCATGTAACCCTCCATGGTCACACTAAAAACACAGGTTACCTCATGGTTTGTACCCTCTGTCTTGTTCACAATAGCAGAGACTCTGGTCCACACTGGAAATGGGATATTCCATCTCTACCTTGCTTGATTGTTTTGAATCTGCAGTCTTGGACAGTCTTGGACAGTCTTTCCACAGCCAAGGCACAGGTCAGTAGGGACACAAAAATATCATCTTCATATTTCTGGAATCTGGTGGTCACTTGAAGCACTTTGTTCTCCTTTCACGGACACCAAAGCCAGTGAGTCAGTGTAATGATGGCGTACGTGCTCCATGCAAATTGTCTCCACACAGAATTTGTACACTGGACCTCATCTATAGGATCCATCRATGGAAATTGCTGAATCCCTACAGATCACCTCCAGCACAACTAATTCTCTCAGGTACTGGATACCCTTCTCCATGATATCACACCTGCCTGGGTGCAGGTCATCCTTGAGAGAGAAYGTTCCCCTCATGCTTGAGAGGAGTCACCTCCAAAGGCTGARAGTTTCTGATCTGTTCCCAATCCCCTTGTCAATTCCCACAYCTGGGACAGGGATCCCAGTTGCTTGACATCACCACCATCCAGTTTCATACTGYGGGCCATGATATCCAAGCATTAAAGCGGCCAGGTCACCGACTAGCAGCTGAAACTTTTCACATGTCTCACAGCTCACCCAGACAGGGATCAGGGGATAACCTCTGGCCCTCCCTCTTCCTCTTGGTATGAGTGTGTGCTAATTTGGAAGCAAACCAGCAGAGAAACTAACCCCACACCAATATGTTGTGATAGACTTCAAGTCATAKCTACTATTTAATATGAGGAAAAAAAAAATAAAAGCCAATAATATAGAACCATTTGTTTAAACTGACAAAGTTAGACTATGACCTGCCTGACCCTGTTAGTCAGGGTAGKGGTAGCAGTCTGGTAAATTGGGCTGCAGTCCTGCTGGGGAGATGGATGTGGTGATCCTGTAGAAAAGGTCTCATCTG